TCGTAACTATCAATGTCAAACCAATGGGCACGATCTTGTAAACTATTAATGTCCTCTAGACAATAGCTCGTAACTATCAATGCCAAAACAATGGGCACAATCCTCAACTCATTATTTTAGAACATAATTACTCTCTCGCAGTAATCAAAGCAGAGTCTCTATATCAACTAATATATTTGAGGTTTATATGTTACAAGTTAACGTTAATAGACGTAATTACAATTCCTATGTCGTTATCTATATCACATGACTAAACTAATCATGCTACATATTCATTTGAAGCGCAGTTCAAATGAATAATGGGTTTTTACGTAGAAGTTTACAAACGTAGATAGTTAATAATGTACAACGTAGTTCAGGTCTACAGAATATTGTGTTACCCTTGTTAATCTGGCATTGCCATATTTGCATGGAGGGTCATTTGAAACTACGCTTCAGTCCCTTGACTCTACCAGCAAAAAAGAAATTGAATAAACATGATTAATTCATTTCTATTTGTTTAGCGTGTCAAATATTGTCTCAAGATTGAAAATACAGGAAGATTTAGTGAGCATGATAATGAAGAAAAAAATCGTCTTTAATTTACGCAGCATTCATTTTTGTAACTAACTACAGTGGGACTCATAAAACAGTAGAAAAGGAAGACGACTGTTGGATTCAGTTTTGTTTTTTGATAAAATTCATAAATTTTTCAGTTTACAAGTAGACTTTTTCACTCAAGAAATTATTTTTCAAGCTAATGGAAAAATTATTTTCTTTATTCAACATTAAATACACATTCGTGGGGGAAAATTATCTAAATTTTCTTGTACCTTTAAGATCCAATTTGGTTTTAATTTGGTGTATTAACTTGATTCAAATAATTAGCAGGACTTTCTGATCTAATAGATTCATAATTTAAAATAGCCAAGGTCTACAAAATCTGGTTGCAAAGATATTGTATATTAAAAAAATAGAGTTTGTAGCAAAAACTCGTTTTCTTTATGCACTTTTTAAGTTTTGTAAGAAATAATTTTCAATTCAAATCTGTTATCTATATCTTAGAGTTTCTGGTTGAAGGGAGAAAATTGAAGGTTTTGTATATATATACAAAATACGAATATATATATAAGGGGATCTCTTACAGAGATGTGAAAAGAATTATGTAACACATTTACACCATATGGAACATTGATAGAATATTGTATGGTATTCTAGGATACAGGGTTACCCACAAAGGATAAGACTTTAGATACGACTTTTAATACTGTCTGTTTCCTTTTAATTTTATTTATAATTATCTGCAACTATCTTTTTTTGCATTGAATAAGCCATAAATAAATATATTCAAGGGATAAAACTTAATTTAACCTCGAAATCGTCAAACATAACGAGTTTCGGTCGTCTTTAGTCTTATCCTTTGTGGGTTACCTTGTAAGTTAGATACAATTTTGTGAATTTATATATATGAAAATAGACGTCAAATAAATCAAAACTTTATTTTATATAGATTTCAGAAGCATGGGAAACATTTCCTCGTGTTTATTCGGGACTTCATGTGCTTAAAGTAGTGACCATGAGGGTAACCCTCAGAATGACTTTACAATTAGTTCACATTATTTTAGATTATTTTAGAACTAAACAAATGACACCATTATATTCAAGAAAATGAAAAATATGCCATTATTTTTTCCGCAATTTTCCCCGTTTTAAAAAAACATATTTTCCCAATTTTAGGTAGAAGGTAATTTTTTCTTTATTTTCCTGAAATTTTCCCTCGGAAATTGAATTCGGATTCCTGTCTTAATTAAACGTTTTCTGTTCAAACTTTGTTGTAAAAATTCACCAAATGGACTGTTTCCCCAAACCATTAAGCATGTGATGTCACATCTTTATTATTTAAGATAATCTTCTAAGATGTTCCATGAAAACTAGAATATGGATCGAGGTCAGGAATAAATTATCGAAACCCAAAAAATCGAAATCTTGTATTTTTGTATTTTTAATTTTTAATTTGTATTATACAATATTAAACAGTTTTATACAATTTACAGAATTTTAACAATTTTAATCAATATCAAACAATATTATACAATATTATACAAATTTAATCAATATTATACAATTTACACAATTTTAACAATTTTAAACAATATTATACAATATTATACAGTTTTAAACAATCTTAGACATGCTTTACAGATATAAATACAATCCCAAAAATATGGAATCTTCAGCAGAATATGTGATGAGTAATATCACAAATTTGTATTATGTTTATCAAAGTCGAATAATTAAAAATGATTTTTTAACCAATTTCTTTCAGCAATTTAAAAATTTTGAACAATCTTAAAAAGTTTTTAACAATACAAATATCATCCTGAAAATATGGCAGCTTGAGCAGAGTATGTGAAGAGTAATATCACAACTTCAAACCACAACCTCAAATTAGAATTTTAATATTTCAAACTTAGATTAATCGATTTAACACAATTCATAGTTTGAAATATCTAAGGTCTACGACATTGGATTGCAAAGATATAGTAATTAGAAAATCAAAGTTTGTGACAATAACTGAAAATTCTTCGTATTATGTTTTTCATAGTAGAATAATTAAAAATGATTTTTTCAGCAATTTTTTCAACAATTTAAAAATTTTGAGCAATCTTTAAAATTTTTGAACAATACAAATATTATCCTGAAAATATGGCATCATTTGCAGAATATGTGAGAGTAATATCACAAATTTGTATTATGTTAATCATAGTAGAATAATTAAAAATGATTTTTTGACAAATTTTTTTTAACAATTTTAAAATTTTGAAAAATACAAATATCATCCTGAAAATATGGCATCATAAGAAGAATATGTGAAGAAAACCTTGTATTACAAATTTGAATTATGTTGATCATGGCATATGTTAGGAAGCTGAACACGTGCATTGTCAGCAAGATTATCAATGCATGACATCCGGCAGGATATGAAGAGGCTTAGGAATACAAGATATGGTACTTATCAACCGAACTTGAGGAAACGAGACAATTGGGAACTGAACTAATGCGAATTACGACTTAAAGATGGAATTGGAAAAAAAGACCATGGGAACGAATTTAATAAATTAGAGCTATGTCGTTGAACTAAATATTGCCGGTTCAAATTTGAACCACCGATTCAAAAATAAAGGTGAAGGAAGGATTTGAATCGGTAATTCTTCTCTGTCTATGAAATGTCATGTCTATCAAATGTCTTGTCTATGAATTTCTTATTTTATGAAATGTCCTGTGTAAGAAATTCTTTCTATGAAATGAGCCAACACCTAAAATTTGTCTCATGCTAATAATTAATAACTATTTATAACACTGCATATTTTGGTTTGCAGTGTTATAAATGTTTTAGACGGAAATTTTCTCTTTATCGAGAAGGTTCAATTGCCTTTATAGATTTAATTTTGTCTATATAATCTAAAAAGGAGAGAACCTTCGAGATATAGGGAAAATTTAAGTCCAAAAACTTTTAAGCACGTCGAGCCAAAATAATCGTGTTATAGGTAATTTTATGAAACGTTTGTGTACTTGTCTTATTTCAATGGCTGTTTCTAGATCAAATAAACTTTGAAACAAAGCAGAAGTCAAAATATAAAGTTGGTTTCAATTTTATTTTTATTTCAATTGAAAAAAATATTTTTGAAATATCCTACATTTTTTGGAGAAAATCCGGGAACCAAACAAAACTTTACAGCACACGTGCTATAATGTACAGCTAATTTAATATTATAGCAAGATGATTACTTTATAGAACGTTCATTATGAAATTCACCATGAAGAGAGTAATAAGCTAAATTACACTATAGTGTCATAAAATAGATTGCTAAGTAGCCGATTCTTGATCGTCTTCTCCCACCAGTCAGTTTCTCATATGTCGGATTTTCCAAGGATCGGTTTACAAAGCATCAAAAATCAAGAATGTAGAGATAGCATGGTGTGAGTTGTGATATCTACATTTTAAATCCTGAATTAAAAAACGCAAAACTGACAACCCCCGACCCCCCTCCTCCACCGGAAATTAAAATTTTTTATTTGGAGATGGCGCTCCCCAGGGGCGTATTCTGGGGGGTTATGGGGGCTAATCCCCCCCTGGACCAGTGAAATCTATTGATTTCTGGAGGTTTTCAGGCCCCAACGGGGGCTGAGCCCCAACCCCTAAAAAGATTTTAAAAAAATGTAAGCCCCCCCTGGACAAATTTCTGAATACGCCCCTGGCGCTCTCTTTCCACTGCCCCCCCCCCCCTTTCTCCTAATCTTGCTAAATCTCTAGAAGCTTCTTCTCCTCTGTATTTTCAAAATTATATATGATATTTTAAAAACATTTTTTAGACATTACATCAAGGGATCATAGTAAATCCTAGAATTGTGACTTTGCGAAGATACTTGAAAATGTCAAGGTTTCTAAATTCTCATTACTTACCTAATTTTAGGGCAAACTTACCTTCCCTTTCCTTAAACGAGATTTTTTAAGATTTCAAATATCATGAAATTTTTTCCTTTTTTTAATTCTCTAAGTGAATATAAAATAAATTGTACAATTTTATAAAAAATTATCTTAAACATATCATATTTAGAAAACATTGTCTTTAGTTGCCAAATGTGAGGGGGGGGGTGGCAAAATGAAAATAAATAAACTAATTAAACATATCTCCATATATCGATATGTTTCTGTTAAATAAAAGTTTGAAAGAGAGTGTTCAAACCCCCCCCCCCCCCTCCTCCTTCGTAACACCGGCCCCTCAAACCCCGAAAATTTCTTATAATTTTTTCTACAAAATTTTATGAACTTTATTTTCAAACTTTAAAACGTTTTTTTCAACAAAGATAATTTAGATTAAATTTTTTCCAAGACAACTAAAAGTAGCACAACTAGATCGGTAAATTACTTTTTAAAAAAAATTTTAAAGTTATTATTGACCCCTGAAACTGGTTTTGTAGGAGAGAGAAGAACTACCCCATGGCTCGACCACCTCCTATATACTAGTTCCCTGCCCCTTACCCTATCATTGTCCTGTAAACCGTTATTGTTGGTGGGTTAAGTTTCCACCATGTTCTTTTTTATGATATTCGCGGGTTTTCTAGTTTCCACTGATGCAGCACTTTTTCTTACACCTCCTACTAATGCATGGGTAAGTACACTTTAATAATAATAATAACAGTTTTCAAACCTTGCATCATAAAATGTATATTCATACTGATCAATTTTGTACTATTAAAGTTTTGTTTTTTGATTTTCTTTTTTGATATTTTGTATTTCCAAAATTTGTTGGAAAACAATTTTTTGTAAAGAAATCGGGAAGTAGATCTTTTCTCATGATTAAGACAATTGTTTTCAAAAAATGTTCCATAAATATATCATAAACGTTTAAAATGTTAATATTTGATAATTTATGACCAAGTCAAATCTACATGTTTTTCCAATGTTTCTTCTTATGATATTTTATGTAAAAAAGGTATCAATTGAATCTAAGAATTTTTAAACTTGAAAAAAAAATTATTTACAAAAAATAAATAGTAGATAATAAATACAATATTTGTATATTCTTCTAGGCTAAACTGGGTGCAAAGAATGTAAGCCTGGTGTGTAAAGCCAGCGAAAAGATAAGATCCTGTTCATGGGAAACTCCGTATGGTAAATATATTTTATACTAGCTTGGGAACCCAGCGTTGCCCAGGGTACTCATATCTACTCCCGCCGTTTACCCGCGCTAGGTCGTAAATTACTATTTACTATGCAAACAAACAGAGATTACTACTTTATAGGTATAGATACATATAACTACAGTAATAGCCAGAAAACAATAAAACAGGAAGACGACAGCGAACCTTAAGTGTATTTGATGTTTTTACAAAGCAAATATAGTTTTACTAGATACTTAAAAATTCACAAATGAGATGAAATGGATCTGTAGTGTTTACGCTGTACAATTGCTGTGAATCATGCTCATTTCTCATTGTACTTTTTAAAGTAATAATTTCTTTCTAAAAGTCGTCTTACTATTCCAGAGTTTTCTGGTTATTACTGTATATAGATAGATAAAGTTTATTGCTAAAATAAATGTATCTGTTTATTATACAGAACGAGTTTACAATTATACAAATTGATAATTATTTTAACAGTACAAGCATAAAGTAATTAGGTGGAAAATAGCTCTTGGCTGTTTTGATTATTTTTTCCACTGAATGTTCAAAACAAATATCAAAACAATTAGTTTTACATTAATAACAATTCGGTTTATAACACATTCTAATGTAATTTTCATAAAGATGCTTAGACTTGACTTTTTTAACTTGACAATGCAAAAACTGTACTGAGGCCGAATTTAAAGAATTTGAGCCGCGGCTTAAGTCCGCCAAAACCCGGTTTAAATTAAGCGCCAACTTAAATCTTGAAACATTTGATACAATTTTAAGTGGAACCAACCATAGTTAAGCCGCGGCTTAAATTTAAGCCGCCGCTCAAATTCCTTAAATTCGGCCCCTGGAGGATTTGTTTTTAGCCGACTTAAGATGATGGTTCCAGAGATTTTCGTCTAAATGAACGCCTTTAAACCTAAAAGATTAATTTTTACATCCAGTTCCTACTCTGTCTATATCTTAATTATCTATGAGAAGTTTAAGAGTTGTTATATTTACATCTTCTATTTTCTTTTGAAGAGATACTTGGTTTTAGATATAAATATTTTTCTTTTTTTTTCAAACCTTCATAACCAATTCTTTAATTTGTAACCATGTAATTAGAAACTTTTGAAGGTTAATGACATTTTTTGCATTAGAAGTTCACGCCTCAAAGTTTGGCTTTCAACATAACAATTTTCGAAGAAGCAAAATATCAATAAATACAAAAATTTGCGCTAAATAAAGAGGTATACATCAAATATGATTTGCGGGACCGGTAAGATCAAATTTAAGTTTAAAGGATTATTGAAAATAAGTAATCTTATTTAGTTATTTATTTATGTAACGTCTCTTGGAACGCAAACGTTTTCTGTAGATTTCCTGGAATTTTTATTGAAAAGACGACATTTGAATAATTTGAAGAAATCTGCGAACAAGTTCTTAAAGAATAAGAAATTCAATATGATTAAAAAGAAATAATTGATTCTAACATCGATTTATTGACAAATTTCTATTGAGAAATATGTTCCTAAACTTTTAATTAATTTACTGTAACATTTTTGTCACTTTTTTCGTCAATCATTGAATAATAAATCAATTCTCAAAACATAACGACCCAAATAAATGAACGACGACTTTGCGCTCAAACTCCGTAACTATACATCATTAAAACGTTTTATATGTCTTAAATGAATCCTTAAAAACTCCATGCAATACTACATTCTTAACTACCATACATCGCCGGTCACTCCCTTTAAAGAAGTGCTTTATTTTACTGTGTAATGGGAATCCCAAAATGTAGAAACATGAATCTGATCATATCCAGGTAAGACCTATCCCCTTGAGGCTGGACTCGGTGCAGAGGGAGGTCGTCTTCTCCACTATGCTGTTGACCCTGCCCTAGAATGCGGTGTCCTCATTTCAGAAGTTCAGGTATCCTTTCTATTCATCTGTGTTATTTTTTTTTACGTGTAAAAGTATTACCAACAAAAAAATATAAATATTCAAGACGTTCTTAGCTTTAATTTAAAATGACTGAAAGGAATTGAGTCTTACCCAAAAACTCAATATCTGAGGTTTACCACATTGGGTAGCTAAGGTACATACAGTTAAAGGATTAGAGAGAATAGATATAACGCAGTTAATCTATCTCCGGCCATATTTTATAGCGTAATTTAAGTATGTCACATGATTTGAGCTAATTATGTTAAGTATTCAATTGAAACGCAGTTTCAATGATTAATGTCATTATGTCTAAGTTAAGAACATTAAATCATTTGTTATGTACAACGTACTGCAAGTTTACAGAATATCATGTGTACACACTTTTTGCTACAGACTTATTTTTTATTTATAAATGAATGACAGTAAGGAATTAAGTCTTTGCCATAAACCCATTTTTCGTATCCCTATATCTTTGCAACCTGCTGGTGTAAACCTTTGATATTTCAAACTTAGATCCAAGTTGCCAATATTAGAAAATCAAGTGTGCGGAAAAGATTTCCCCAAATTTAATCTAATTTTTTGTCTTTTTTGTAGAAGAACGACGAGGGAAGATGGCGGTGTAATGTAGCTGTTGTCGAGAATAAAGAAGTGAGTTCTGCTCAAGGAATGGCAAACCTTTCTATCGCTACTCCACCGGAAGAAGTTACTTTAAACAGTCCATTTTCTTCTGGATTCGTCAACATTTCTGCAGGTATAAACATAAATGTTGCCACATAAATGTTGCCACAAGTTTTTTTTTCACCATATTTTTCTTTTTTCTTGGCTTAAGTAATATTAAAGGGAATATAGTTGTAATTTTTATTGACTCTTCAATCATAGAATGGAGAGTCCGGTTCAGAAATCAATCGTCTTCTTCTTGAAAGTTGGTTATTTTAAATTGTGGTTTCTCTACGAAGATACTTGAGCATTTCTGCTAAACGAAACAATAGATGAAATGTTTAAAAGTTAACCCACGTTAAAAGCTCTAAAAACAACGATATCTTATGCATTATTGATCGGTTTAAGGTTTAAAGGGTACCGTTGGAATAGGAGCACTTAGAAATTACAACAATACTCCATTTAAGCACAACATCATCAAATTATTGATAAATTGATAAATCGCGAAAGTTAACGATTTCATTTTTAATTCTGGAAAAAAAGAGTGGTAATTCATTTCTTAGTCGCAATAAATCAAAATATTTTGCAAATAGTTTTCTTGTATTTTGTTTTGAAAATGTTCATACACAATGCATTAGGTACGTGATCCAAACAATGCATGCTCTCCCACCAAAAGTTAATGACAATGGCTTTGATTAGAAAATGTTGTAATGAATTAAAGACATAGACGTAGCAACTTTTTGCAATTTTAAAGCAAAGATTGCAATTTTAGATTTGGTGTTTCTCTGCACAATTATCTTGCGAAAAAGTACACAATTCTCAAGTCGGAAAAACGATTTTTTCTTCCACATTTTTTATCAGAGTGTTATAAATTGAAAAATGGCAATCTTTGCATGGAGGGTCGGTTGAAATTACGCGTACAGTCCCTTTAAGTAAAAAAACGCGAACTTAAAAATGCAATGTATTAAATATGTTGGCAAGGTTACCTCAACTCTTTATTCTGTACCTTTACACCTTCTCAGCTATGTGTACGTCGTAAGTCACTTGCTACTTTACATTGTACAGTACGGTGTACAGTGTACAGTACGGTGTACAGTGTACAGTACTGTGTACATATTTCTTGACGCAAATATGGTAAAAAGTGAGAGTGCCTGTTTGTCCTACTAACCCAGATCATAGCTTATGTCTCGACAAAGATAGAAAGATAAAAACAATGGATTATTTATGGAGTATTTATGGATTATTTATGGTGTATTTATGGAGTATTTATGGAGTATTTATGGAGTATTTATGGAGTATTGTGTCAAACTAAAGTAAATAAAAATCAGAACAACTCTTTTTGAAGATCGAGCTGAATTGAGTAAACAGAAATATTTTGAATTTCTAAAATGTAACTTGTCATAAAATTAGAGAAGCTACGAATTCACAAATTCGCACCATTGATGTACTTAATTATTTAATTCATATTTTTGTTAAACGAGTTTTGGGCAATTATAAATTCATCCGGTTTTACTTCTTCTTTTCTGACACAACTTCACAAGCATTGCTTTTTTATTTGGGTTTGGTACGTTATGCGATTATATCAATATAATGAAGACGACGTTCGATTTCAATTTTGATTTTATCAAGCTTTTAAACAGCATGGATCCACATAAACATGAAAACAAGGAGAAACTGTCATTTTTAAACTTATAATTCGAAAAAAGCTTTTTAACGATCATTTTTTATATGAAAAGTCGTCTTCATTATATTGATAGAATTACCTACCATATTCCCTAAAAGTGGTGCAACAAAAGTGCTGTTTCGTAATACACTCCTATTCCTTGCACTGTAGCTTTATCAACTACTAGCTCAAGGCCCGGCGTTGCCCATGGAAACAAAAATGTTGAAAAAAAAGAAAAAAAAATTTCGAGTTGTTTTTTTGGATTTTTTAGCCTTTAACACCCCACGGCCACCCATGAGTGTCCACGGTCCAGCAGTTTGGCCGGCTATAAGCAACATATATATATACGAATGTCTTGTTTTATTATATAGATAGATTGTTTACGTTCAAGTTTTTCGTAACGTAATTTTAAGTCACTCTTGCAAAGATGGCAATGCCCGATTCACACCTGTTCCCTTTAAAGCGTTGTCTGATCAAGGATGCATGTTTATAAATTTTAAAATTGTTTTCAATTGTAGTTTCTGTACGAAAATGACTTGCATATTTCTACTGCAAGAAGTTGTATCGGAATTATCTTAAATAACACTTTTAAAAATAGAAAAATGTCAATATCTTCCACATTATTGGTCAGTAAAGGTTTAAAGAGCACCGACGTAAATCAGGCATTGCCATCTTTGCGTTGAAAAAGTGTTTTAACAGTCCTTTTCTTAAGTTGAGACACGTATATCTAATACATTGATTAAGAATTTCTCAATATACAAGACACTATTTGGTATATGATGTAAACATGTTAAATTCGGAAATAAGAAGACGACTTGTAGACCAAATTTATGACTTTCACTAGTCCAATGAGCATGAGACAAAGCAATAATGCGGTGTAAACAGACCCATTTCACTTAATTATTGATTTAATAAGTGGCTAGTAAAACTATTTAATTTGTAACAACATCAAATACGCTTGTATTGTTATAAAGTCGTCTTCCTATATCAGAGTTTTCTGGTTATCACTGTATAATCAATTGCCTAAAGAATTTAACGTCCCATTACATCCTAATCAAGGATTCTGAAGAATTTTTAAAATAAACAAATTTCAAATACTGGTCATCAAGAACTGCAAACAGTGGCGTTTTCAGTGGGTCAGTGAAATCTTTGGTTTTCAGGGGTTTTTGGGCCCACACGGGTGCTGAGTCTTTCTTGAATTAAAAAATATTTTGCCACCCTGGTGATATTCCAAAATAAGTCTGCAAACATCAATTCGACGGTTCTGTCAATATATAGTGCACGTGCAAATTTTTCACAAAAGAACTTAATCATTTGACGTTTTATGTTTAAAGCATGTCAGCAAAGTTGTACTATGCAGCAACTGAACCTTGAAACCACAATCCTTTACTGATATAGCTCTTAAACTTAAAGGAACTAAGAAGCGTAAAATTTCAAATACCCGATTTTTAAATATACCTTTTAAAGTACTGGTTGAATATCCATGGTTCTTGTATCTCCGGCCGGTTTACAGGAAAAGAAGACAATTTTTTCTAATTTAAATATTACATTAAAAAATGTGGAACTATAAACACCTATCTTTTTACTCTGATTAATTGATTATGAATTCATTTTTAGGAACCGTGAGCTCTGTAAAATGTATCGCCACCAAAACCCGCCCTTCTCCCGTTTTCACCTGGAAAATCGGCGGTATGCCCGTTGCAGGAAAGACGATGGACGAAGAGCAATTTGTCGATACGGCCGGACTCTCAACATTTAGTCAGACTTTAAAATACAAGGCGCTGCCTGAACACTCCAACAAAACCCTGAGGTATAATTAAATTTATCAGAATTAAAGGGACTGTAAGCGTATATAATCTTAAGTGATCCTCCATGCAAAGATGGCAATGTCCAAGTCACAACGGCACCCTTGAAACCTTTATCTGATGAATCTGATCAAAAATGTGGAAGAAACCGTTATTATTCTGACTTTAAGAATGTTAATTTCTGTAAGTTTCCCCCGTTGTGTCTTATAAACAAGACTGCGCAAGACACCTACGCAGAGAAACAGCAGATTAAAATAAACAGAAACAAAATCATGCATATCAATTCCTACTTAATGGTATCGTTGTAAATCTGTGATTGCCATCGCTTTGCATGAAGGGTCGATCGATCACTAAAAGATCGATCACTAAAAGATCGATCAATAAAAGATCGATCACTGAAAGAATAAGGATGTCCTTACTCGGACAAAGGTTTAAAGGGAAGCATATTGTGATTCATACCTTCACTCTACAAATGGCGGATCACTCGGAATTCCGCCAACAGTTCCTTTAAATGATCAATTTTTGTTTTCAGTTGCTCTATTTCTCATCCTGGTCAACTAACTAATGTGACGATCAACGTGACTGTTCTAGTATTAGGTCAGTAATCTATGTATATATATATATATATTTACTTTGCTTGTCTGTCTGATCGTTTGTTTGTATCCAATAAACGTCAAAACTGTTGAACCAATCGGACCCAATTTGTTGTGGGACCTCGCGTGACCCCAGGGCAGGTTAATTATGACCGATTTTTCAAAAATTTGCCTCTAAAAAATTGGATTTTTGAAAATTTAGAAAATCCACAACATTTTTTTATAAAATCCACAAATTTTTTGTGTGTTTTTGGTTTTCAATGTATACAAACATACGCGACGGATTGATTTAATTATGCTTCGATATCCCGTGGTGGTTATACTCTGCAGGTATAACTATATTTTAGCTTCAAATTTAAAAGTGTTTCAAACAAACATGTAATTTTCTAATATGCCCTTGCTATTATACAGTTATACCCTAAATGAGCCATACATCGAAAGAATTTTATCAAATGTCGTCTTGATTATTTTTCAATGGGTAATTTATACTATTTTACGTAAATCTCTGCATTTGCGAAAATAAATAAATTGACATGGATATACGGGAATAGTTTTAAAGAGCTCCACATAGGTAATTAATTAAAAAACTAAATGTATGCAACATTCCATTATCAGAAAGTGAAGAATACGACATTTGATTAATTCTTTTGATGTCTGGATTATATAGGGGTTAACTGTATCACAAATGTGCATCAAAAATGCCTGTAGTACATTTTTAAAAATATATTAATATACCAATTAAAAATTTGAAATCCGTGTTGATAACCCCAGATAACAATTTGGTCGTATGTGGGATTGAAAACGTCATTGATTCCTTCAAAAAAATATGCTTCATCAAGAAACAAGGCTACCCATCTTAATACAATCTTTATTTGATTATTTTTGATGATTTTAGAATTCAATTTTTTAAATATTTCCAGGGACTGATTTAGTAAGTGGGGCTGAGGTTAATGGATTGCCGATTGGTGGTATTGTTGGAATCGTAATCGCTGTTGCTGTACTCATCATGATTCTAGTACTCTCCGCTATTTTCTACAGGTAAACTTAGTTTATAATCGCTTAACTTAGCCTCGACTTTTAACATCCTTTCTGTAAAATCGTTGTTTTTTACTATTTATTGTTGCCTCACAGACTAGTAAAATTTATAAATAATTAAAAATAGAAAGACTTGAAACTTTTAAATTGAACTATTTGGGAATTAAAACCATTAGAAAACTCAAAAAAGGTTTTTATGGAAATATCAAAATTAAATTTAGAAAAAATACTGGAAAAAGTCTCAAATCTAAGACTTATAAAGTCATCCTTGCCAATTAATTTTTTCTTTGAGTTAGCATTAGCATAAGTTTTATATTTGCATAAAAACATATTCTTGTGATATAATTTACACATTTATTTTCCAGGGCTAAATTCTCCAAGAATAATACTGAAGAATCCTCCGAGAAACTGAAGATAACAGCTGACGACAAAGAGAATGAAGACGACGCCACTGCCGCCAAACCAAACCAGGTTCTGGAAACATCAACTGAGGCAACCAAACAGGAAACCTTCCAATACTTCAAGTTCATCACATTAAATCCAAAGTTTCGAAAAAACAAGAAGAACCTGGATGAGACTTCGGCTCCTGAATTTGAAAAGGTTGAGCTCAATGATGAATCTGAGAAGACTGATAAAGAAAAGGCTGTCGAGAATGAAGAGGAAAAAGTCCGAATTATCCCCAAGGTTCGGTCTTTAATCAGCAAGCTTAAGATGGCACCCAGGCCAAAGAAGGATGACGTTGAGATGGGGGAAACAGAATCAAGGGAAGAAGCTAAAGACGAAGTAGATGAAGAGATTATGAAAGAATTGGAACCGGAGGATAAAGAAGAAAAGGAGAAAGATGAAAAGATGGTTTTCGGAACTCAGACTCCAGTTTAAATTGTTAATTTTTGTGTGTGTTGCTGTTTTGACAAAACCCATTCCATTATCAGTTCATTCCACTTGTACATATAGTTTACTAATGAACATACATCCGTAGATCTCAATGTACATACATTTTTATGTTATTTTCTGTAATTTTCTGAATAATTTAATATATTATGTACTGTACAAATTAGTTGTCTTTTTTATGTATTAATCAATTAACTTTGAATTGAATGATTGATATATGGTATAAGTATGCAAAGACGATTTAATGAGTAATTCTTCGATCTAAGATATTAATCTTTAAAAGGGGTTGAACGGCTTATGTTGTCAAAAATGGGTCACATTACATGTTTCTGTTTGTATTCCCGATCATAACTCATTCACTTCTTCATCGATTTGCCTCTTTTTAAAACAATTTTAATAATTTTGAAGTTTTAATCTTATAAATTGGATTCAGTTGATACAGACAGACTGATTTTTTTTAAAGCTGAGCTGGGAACTTTAGAATGGTGGATATCAAAATAAATGCTTGCTCCTCTCTTTTTCTTAATCTCGAGACCAACCTAATCTTGTACTTGTATCCTGAAAAGTGTATAAAATTCAACCAATCAGAGTCGCGTATCTAAAGCCGGGAAATTTTAAATTTTGCACCTCATTTAAAATTAATATACAGAAACGGAAGGGACTTTCTAAATAAAAAACCCGGTTTTTGATTTTTCTCTACTATATCATAAAGCAAGAAATTAAAAGTTTACACATTGGATATCCGGATTAATCATTCGGGATTAAAGGTATCCCATTCTAAAGTTCCCATTCTAAAGTTCCCAGCTCTGAACCAGTTAAATTTTAATGGGATACAGTTGACACAGACAGATTGATTTTTCTTCTCTTATGAAGCTGAACCAGTTAAATTTTAATGAATTAAATATTATGGGACAATTAAATTATATCTTTAAATTCATTCCAAATAACATGACTCAAAACCTATAAAATGATGATTCTCCTCTACCACAAAATAAGAGTAGTTTTACTCTACAAAAGATAAAACCTGGGCTATATATATATATTAAAAATACGGTTTACATCATGGAGCAAGGGTTTGAATAAAATCATCTTTCGACATAGGGTGAAAATTTGAAAATTTTTGTTTGAAAAACAATAATAAAATAATAGTTGGAGAAAACCTAAGTTATAATAGGTTTCTCTGGGTTATCTTCGTTTTCAGATTGGTTGCGTATTTGCTGAATATGAACTGTTTAAACCTTCTATTTCCATACCAAATTGTATATGTATATATGAATTTTCGTAAAAATTTTACACATTTTTATTTCTCGAGACAGGAGCATCAGATATAACTTTCATGGGTCGCGATCAAAAGCTAAAGTAATTAGCTTTCAGCCTATACCCCTTTTCATTTTTCCTTTACAGTCCTTTTAAATGCTTAATTCTTCAAAAGTTTTGACCTATAGATTTTGGAAAATGGAATTATAATTTATATTAGAGGTAATATTTATAAAAACAAAATTATTCCAAGGTAATTTGCATTAAAGTTTTACCTTACACAAAAAGTCCGAGGAATCTGAACTAAATTATGCAGAAAAAAGGAAAAATATTTTGTAAACGTATCAAATAAGTTTTAGTTGTAATGTTGTATTAAAAGAGGTTATGACGACATTGTTTTAAATGTTTCATCCTTCGAGATAAGGATGTCAACTTCTTGTCTGAAACAGGATACATTAGATAAGGTACAGGGTGTGCAACGGAAACTTTACGTCCTGAGATTTCCAAAATATGGTCTGCCATTTCTGTACCATCAGTAGGTTTATCAAGAACTGGGAACCATTTTATTGAAGAATCAATGCTCGATTTCGATCTTTTGTTAACCTGCAGATTAATCTAATCTTTATTTGATATCCCGCATGTTCATCGAGTACCCTAGAGGAATAACTGAAAAAAAGAGTTTAACCGTTGATCCTCAAATTAATAGTGCCCGCAGTAGATATCGAGATTAAGCCAATGATAATCCACCAAAATAGTTTCCAGCACAGAATATATTTAATATCCCTTCGTTCAAAGAATAAGGACTCTATTTGGAAAGATCCATGAGACCATTCTTAATTCCTCATGATGTTTTGGAACACCCGTACTAAAAACGTTTTTTTATAAATAAGTTTGTGTGAGAAAAAAACTTTTTATTAGAAACAATTATCTTATTTTGAAGTGAAGATTTTTCTAGAACCTTTTTCAAGTTTAATAAAAAGATGAAAATAAAAAAGAAACATTTAAAAAAAATTTTTCCTTTAAATTGATATTTGACTGGAAATTCGAAGAATAGATAAGACAATGCATATTTAAGGAAAACAAATATTGAGGAACAAACAGTTGATTCTAAAACAGCAGGTTGGTAATAAGCATTAATTAAGGTCGGATTTAATGAAGAGTGCGAATTAGATTAAATATTCAGACTTAGCTCAACTGTTTGTCTCGCTATTCATTGATTCCGACCTTGGATATCTTGTTATTGGCATTAAACCCCTCATTTAATTAAAGGAATAAAATTAGGTCACAAATATGTGTGACAAAATAATAGTTTTTTGCTTACTCTTTGATTTGTTACACATTTTTCCATGTTTTCATTTTTTTGAAATTTGTTTTAGAATGCTGAAATTACTATTAGCTGCGGTCCTTGTTAGTTTCTCCATGGCACTGCCGTCAATGGACAAAAAGGAGGTCAGTTTCTTCATTTTTTGTATATTTTTTTTAAGGGGTGGCAGGGGTCAAACATTTGCTTTTTGTCACATTTAAGAGTCTTTTTTAATTTTTTAAAATTACTTTTTTTTTGCACAATACAATCTGCAATCTACGAATCAAACCCAAATATTTCTAATCAGTTTTTTAATTTTTGTACTTTTTCAGGGGGTGGGATCAAAAATTTGTTTTAAATTTTTGTAAAAACAAAATTATTAGATTATTAAAAATTAAACATAATTAGATTCCATCCGTGAGTTTAAAAATAGGTTTTTAACTGATATAAACATCATATGACTCACCCAACAGTTAAATAAAAATATATATATATATACAATTAGACCCACACAACTGTGGAATAGAAAGATGACATTGTTATAAAGTATATAATTTGACCAGATCAACTTTATAAGTAAAAAGATCAACTTTATAAGTAAAAAGGATCTGTGTGCTCTACACAATTTCTGTGTTTTACATTCATTGGACTTTTCAAAATAAATGCTTGAGTCTAACCAAGGTTGTATAATAAGGTTGTGTTTACTCTCGTTGCGCTCCAATGACCTGTGGAAAATGTCGTCTCCTAGACTCTCGTCTCTATAATCACTGACGTCATAAGAGGTTTTTATCTATCTATGCTTAGGAGACGATATTTTCCGTACATTGGAGCTCATCGAGAGAAACCAATTAAGTTTTATGTTTATCACTGTACTTCAGATTGAAGAGAGGTTTGGTGCTGTGAACTGGGATCCTAATGTTAAAACCCTCTACTGCAGTGATTGTATTGGTAAGACCTTTATCAACTGATTTCATGCAAAATCATGAAAAAAATGTATTTTTTCTCTTTTCACCCCTTTCCCTGTTCTAATTTTTGTTTCACCGTTAAGCTTGAAACTGACAAAAAAAATTATAAGAAATATTTTTCAGTATTTTTAAAAAAAATGTTTTCAAAATTGTATTTTTTGAAATTATCTTAAAAGGTTAGATTGATTTAAATCACAACTAAAAATTCCGTCATCGTAATCCCTTGAATTTAAATTGAGGAATTGGACTCTGTAGAAGTTATGGCTGGACTAAGTTGATTTGAGTTTCATGAAAAAAAAAACGAGAGTTTCTCCGTCTTGGAAAGTTAATCTCGTAATATCTCAAACATTAACGGATAAAAAAATAGTCAATATTGTAAAATTTTAATGCGGTAATGTTAACAAGCTTAAAATAGCTGAGTCGTCTATTTTCACTTTTTACAAATTTAATGAACACTCCCTTAAAGAATATCTTCTAGAGGTTTCAGTTGAATCTACTGGAGGAACCCTAGAACATCAACCAATGAGACTTGGCAGGTTAGTTCGAACCTCGTGAGGGTTTATTGGAAGTTAGATAGGTTTATTGGAGGCTAAATAGGTCCATTGGAGGTCACACAGGTTTATTGGAGGTTAGACAGGTCTATTGGAGTTTAGATATGTCTATTGGAGGTTAGACAGGCCTACTGGAGGTTAGATAGGTCTATTTGAGGTTAGACAGGTGTATTGGAGGTTTTTAAAGGTCTATTGGAGGTTTGATAGGTCTATTGGAGGTTAGATAGGTCTATTGGAGGTTAGATAGGTCTATTGGAGGTTAGATAGGTCTATTGGAGGTTAATTAGGTCTATTTGAGGTTAGATAGGTCTATTGGAGGTTAATTAGGTATATTTGAGGTTAGATAGGTATATTGGAGGTTAGGTAAGTCTATTGGAGGTTAAACAATTCAAACTCCAGGTTAGATAGGTTTATTCGAGGTTAGATAGGTTTATTGGAGGTTAATTAGGTCTATTTGAGGTTAGAATTGGAGAAATTGAATCAAGTTTTCTGCATTGAAAAATTCTTTAATTGCTTATTTGATGATTGGTCCAAAAAAGAAACAAGTTTACTGCTTCAGGAAGCATTAATATAAAGAAACAGACAATATAACTTCCGTGAGGTCGTCTCTGAAGTCTCATTTTTGTGGATAACTCTGTATATGTTGTGCATATAAATATATTTGTTTAGATATACTGTTGCTGGATCTCTCTGGGAGAACTGGATTCCTCTTTTCAAGTAAAGTTTTCTTAATTGAAAGAAATTGTTTTACAGAAATATTTTATTTTACCAATAGTATCTTTGTCTTTATATGTATGTATAAAGTTTTAATCTCCGTCCGATCATAACTCAGGAACCCCTCAAGTTTTTATTGGGGTACTTGGGAGACCAATGGGAATGTTCTTAATTTAGTTTTGAGATTTTAAGTTGAGTTGGCCGACTTTGCGAAAATTAAGTTCCCGATAAAATCGTTAAGTGCGGGTAAACGGCGGGAGTTACTTTTAGTAACATTTGCTGGGTTCCCAAGCTGGTCTTTCAATATTATGTTAAAGCTTTGACTGAACAGGAATGAATGAGATATCCATAATTTATATTTTCAAATGAATTTTCTAATTTTTCATGCAAAAAATGTGGAAGACTACTAAAGTGGTAATTTCTGCGAGCTTCTCCATTGCTTCTTATAAGGAAGAAATCCGCCAGAAAAAAAAACTTTCATATCTCTAATTCATACTTGACCAGACAACGCGTTTAAAATAATAACTTTGAAATAAGATAATTGCAATAAGTTTCGCATCTTTTGACCTTATTGGACCTGATAAAAATACTATTCCAATGTTTCAATTCAACTAAGATAAAGATTTTATTTGTTTTAAATTAATAATTTTTTGCTGATATCTCTTAAAATGTCTTTATGTTCTCTGCAAATATTTACATTTTCAACAAAGGCTGTGCAATATAAATCAAGGGTATATAATATAAACACAGGGTATATGTATATTATACAGAGATAACTAGAAAATAATGGAATAGGAAGATGACTTATAGCAATACTTGACTGTATTTTATTATTATTATTATTATTATTATTATTATTATTATTATTATTATTATTATTATTATTATTATTATTATTATTATTACCACTATTATTATCATTATATTGTAGGTCTGAGAGTAACCAATGGTTGACCCCTGACCCTAACTCCAACCCTGTAATCTACTACATTAAGTGGGTCATCTCAGGTTAGACGTTTCTTGGTGATTCAAGACAGTATGGTTGAGCAAAACTCCCGAGTTTCTCATTTGGGGTCTCAACATTTGCAAAGATTTTAATTAATGAAATCAGAATATAAAACGAGAATGTAAAAAAACCACATGAAATAATATTTCTTAACAAAGTGTTGGTTTCTACAAAACTGCCCATTCAAGAAACCGGGTTTCCAATACTGGGTTTTATTACGATAATCTGTTTTAAGTTTCGGGCTCAACTGTCTTGAGATCACAACTTGTGTGTTGTGATAAAGCGTTGATCTACGGATTAAATTAATTCCTTTACGATATCCTGTACAGTGGTCATGCCATTTGCTCAGATAACTTTGATTGAGAGATAACACAATTATCTTTACATTTAAAAGTGCCCACATAGGATATCGAGATCAATCGATCAAGATTAACAATATCCGTCACAAAAAAGTTTTGACCTCTAGATGTCACATATAAGAATCTATATATTTATATAAAGAAGTAATCTTTTTTTTTGTTTAAAAGTTTGATTATAACTCTTGAACCCCTGGACCGATTTGCCTCAAATTTTTATTGGGAAACGCCCGGGAGAACTACGACAGTGTTCTTAGCTTGAGATTCTAAGTTCTGCATGGGTCGACTGTTATCGGGAAAAATGGCTAAAATCATGATTTAAGCCCAAGTGCGGATACACGGCGGGAGATAACTATAATAAGTAACCTTTGCTCTCAAGCTAGTTAATAAATAAAAAATAATATCTTAGAAACTGTTGGAGGATTTAATGCAGGAGTACAAAACAACGCTTACACTGACGGATTCAACTGCCCGTAAGTAGAAAAATATATTAAAAAAAACATTTACAAATTTTTAAAAAAAATTGATTTTTCTGGAGACGTAGAGATGTTGTCCAAAATACGTAGATATGTTGTCCAAAATACGTAGATATGTTGTCCAAAATACGTAGATATGTTGTCCAAAATACGTAGATATGTTGTCCAAAATACGTAGAGATGTTGTCCAAAATAAATCTTTTTTTTGCTTAAAGGGACTGTAAACGTAATTTTAAATTACCTTCCATAGTAAACTGATTATTTTCGACTCATAAGCAGTTCTTGGCTTCAGAAATAATTGAGAAATTAACAGAAAAAAACGACGTTATCTTTCGCATTATCGATCCGATAAAGGGTTTAAGAGAACCGTTGTGAATCAGGCATGCTCCTCTGTAAAATCTTTTCTTGGGTTATTTATGTTATATATCCTGTTTTAATTTCCAAAAATGTATGGTAGTTTTTTCCCCATATATTATTTATTTAGTTGGGAGATACCAGATAACTGGGAATACGAATACCAGAGACAGTGGTTTATTGACCCCACACTTAAGGTTAGAATTATCTATCATTTTAATCAAAATATTGAAAATTAATATACAGAAATTATATCAATACAATGAAGACGCCTTTCGACCTAAATTTTGATTTATATCAAGCTGTTGAACAGCATGGATACACATAAAAAAGAGAAGCTGTCAATTAAAAAAGCTTCTCTTTGATTATTTGTAAACTTGTAATTCGAAGAAAGCTTGTTAACAATCAAAACTTAAATTTAAAAGTCGTCTTCTTGTATTGATATAATCGCCCATCACTATAAATGCAGTAATACCAGTTGAGAACTAGAACTAGCTCTATGATTTTGATACAGGGGTACTCGCAAAGGATGAGACTTCAGAGATGACAGTACGAAATATATACTGTCTGTTTCCTGATATTCATGGTTCCCTACAACTATAAACTTCTTTCTCTCTTTTCCAAATCATTAAATAAGTCATTTATAAACCACATCGTCATATTTGAAAAGTTTCAAGTCGTCTTTACAATCTCATCCTTTGTGGGTAACCCTGTAGAAAGTTTTAGTTTTTCAAAAAAAATAGAATTTCATAATCCCTTTTTTTGTAACAGCTCATCGTTTGCAGATAATTTAAATTTTGATTTTTTAAATTAAAAAGATTTGAGCAAGTAACCTAATAATGCGTTGTCAACTTAGACCTAAGTCTTTTTTTCCGCGCGTATTGAGGTTTGTTTTTAAACATTTAAAGGTTTAGGCTATTAAGAGTCTTTTTAACAATCTGATTTTTCTTTTTTACCTTGTACAAAGTTTTTGCTGTGACCAAAGATATTCACAAAAACGATTATTAGAATAGTTTTTCGTCTGCTTTTGAAAAATCGTTTGGTGAATATCTTTCGTCAGGAAAAAAAACGCAAATTTTTCAATGTGTTATATAACTCATATCTTGTCGAGCGTTTAAAACTTTGAAATACCCTAAATATCTCAAAACAGAACTCAAAATGATGCCCATCAGTAGATGGAGTGGATGAGAGGTAAAACGGGCAAAGTTTAACCCGATCCATTTAAAAGTTTTCAGCTTGAAGAACAAGTTTAATTCTTTCTACTCATTAAAAGCTCCCAGCCCTGAATGAAAATTTGGAATTTACAAATTCTATTTTATTTATTTTTTAGATCCGATGCACTAAATACAGAAACCAAGAATAGATCAAGGATTTACTTCAAAACCCTATATTTGCTGAATTTTAAATATAAAAATAAATATTGGATTTGATTTATTCAAGAAATTTCTATTGAATATATATTTGACAGTTTTCCATATTTGATAAGAGAAGAACAGTCTTCAAAGAAGATTTAAACAAATATTTCAAATATTATCTGGGCCATTTAAAATGATAAAAAAAATATTGCAAAACAAATATCTTTCTTTTTCTTTGTTTATAAAAATATTACCCCTGTAATATCAATAATTAATGTGGAACAAAGCGACTCTTTCTAAAATAACGACATCAAACAGAGACCGTCCCTAAGAACGTATGAACAAAGTCCGTCCTAATGACGTACTTTGGAGGTCGATAGTTTGATAGATAGATGATTAGGACGCACGCAGTCGAATACGTCATCATGTTCGGCCATTGTAGTGTTGAGAAGAAACGTAGTCTGTGGAGTTATCAATGACTCCTTTCATAAATTGTAGTGTTGAGAAGAAACGTACTCTGTGGAGTTATCAATGACTCTTTTCATAAATTGTAGTGTTGAGAAGAAACGTACTCTGTGGAGTTATCAATGACTCCTTTCATAAATTGTAGTGTTGAGAAGAAACGTACTCTGTGGAGTTATCAATGACTCCTTTAATAAATTGTAGTGTTGAGAAGAAACGTACTCTGTGGAGTTATTAATTACTCCTTTCGTAAATTGTAGTGTTGATAAAAAACGTACTCTGTGGAGTTATCAATGACTCCTTTCATAAATTGTAGTGTTGTGAAGAAACGTACTCTGTGGAGTTATCAATGACTCCTTTCATAAATTGATAAGTCACGCTCACTGCCGTCTATAAATTGTTAGTTCCATTTTTCATTTATAATATATTTTCATTTTTCATTTGATATATTTTCATTTTTCATTTATAATTTACAAAAAACATGGGAAATGAGTAAATACGTTAAAATCGTATAGCACTATCGACAATGTACTGTATCTTTAAGAATGGCGAAATGATCTTATTAAATCAATTTTGGTTGATACAGGGTTACCCACAAGTGATGAGACTGAATGGACGACCGGAAACCCATGAAATATGACAGTCCCCGAGTTAATTTATATATTCTTATTTAATGATTTGACAAAGAAGCAAAAAAGTTTACAGTGGCAGGGAATCGTGAATGTACGAAAACAGACAGAGTAAATTTCGTACAATGGTCTCTGAAGTAGGGTTTTCTAGCGAGAAACGAAAATCGTTTCGCTAAAATTTTGCATTTTTCGCGAAAAAAATGCATTTCGTTCAATCGATAAATATGCGAAAACTTTCGCTTTTTGGCGAAATTTAGCTTCAGTCTTTTTCGTGAAAAAAGCGAAAATTTCGCTAAAAAATAATGCAAAAATTATGCGAAAAAAGAGAGCGAAAATTTCACGAAAAAATACAGAATTCTCTTTAGATTGTACTTTTTGGCGAAAATTCATCAAAAAAAGCAAAATATTGAGTATAAAATGTCGCAAATTTTTACGAATAAATTTTCGTGAAAATATTTTCACGATATTTCACTTCGCGGAAAAGTTTGCGAAATACGAACGAAAATGTTTGCAATTTTTGCGAAAAGTTTTGTTCGCTAGAAACTCTACTCTGAATTCTCATACTTTGTGGGTAACCCTGTACTTAAAGAGAGATATTCATTGGGATTTTAAAGGAGGTCCAGTTCACAACGGTATCCTTGATCATATAGTTTTTTGGTTTGAAAAAGTGTTTAATTTACAAAATTTCCTTCATAGTTCTGAAACAAGAAATCCGCAGGTCACTTTTTTATAATCTTCAGGTTTATTGCAAAAAGTTGTTCTACATTCTACAACTAATTTGATTTAAAAACATTTAATTTTAGATAAATTTCATTTTGATTATCTTTTCTTCACATTTAAAATCTGTGTAAATATTGTTATCTATATAAAATATAACAGCATTCATTATAATGTTTTAAATATGATATCAATATGGTGAAGTATTTAAAATCATTATTGGTTTTAACGGGAAACATTATTTTAAATATTTCTTTAAACGGGACTGTCATTGTAATTACTTAATTAAAGTGACCCTCGCTTCAAAGAGAGCCCGATTCACACAGATACCTTTTACTCCTTCATCTGATCAATAATGTGGAAGATACAGCCGTTGTTTCGAGCTTGAACAAATGTTGTATTCTCACGATTTTCGTCATTGTCAAGAAATCCGCAAGTTCCTTTAAATCTATTAAAACTAGAATAAAAATAGCAATTTTTAACGATAAATCATGGATATCTCATTCTTTACCAGACCCAGCTTTTAATGGTAACTTTGTAAATCGGGCATGCCATAAAAAATGGAGGGTCACTTGAAATTTATACAAATTAAAAATCGTTTGGAATATTGAAGTTCATCTGACTCCGCAGGAAACTTAGCATCTCGCCCATTACTCTCGCCTAAAATATCGTTTTATTACACCAAGGTTGAATAATAAGGTTGATTACTCTCAATACACTCCAATGTACGATAAAATGTCATCTCCGCAGATAGATAGATAAAAACAACAAATGATTTCACTCTCGCCTCTATAATCAGAAACCTCATATGAGGTTTTTATCTATCTATCTTAGGTGTCGACATTTGCCGTACATTGGAACGCATCGAGAGTAACCAACCTTATTATACAAACTTGTATTACACCATGACCTTCAGTGAGAACCAGAAAACTGTTGAATAGTAAGACGACATTAAAGCAATATTGACATAGTGTGGTTACAGCTTAAATGGCGAAATACTTCCTTCGAAAATCTCAAATCTATTTTTCACCAGGAAAAAATTATACAGTAGTAAAAATCATTAAATAAAACATTTATCCAGTTAAACCCAAGATAAGCCATACATCGAAAAAAAATTATTAAATGTTGTCTTGACAATTTTTCAATGGGTTTTATACTATTTTACGTAAATCTCAGTATTTGCGAAAATAAATAAATAGCCATGAATATGCTGGAACAGTTTTAAAGAGCTCCATATAATCATTTAATTAAAAAACTAAATAACGGCAACATTCCATTATCAGAAAGTGAAGAATACGACATTTGATGAGTTCTTTCGATGTCTGGCTTATTTGGGGTTTAACTGTAGCAAAAAAAATTTAAAAAATCAAAACTCATCTAGTAATTAACGATTTAAAAAACAGCGATCATAAAGGGAAGATTGATATGGGTATCAAAAGATTCGCCTTGAATCGCTGATAAACGCCCATTTGTCCGTTTTTCGATATTTCGAAAACCGTTATGTTAAAAGGCTAAAAAACTATTTTTTTAATAAGCTTTTTACTTATAAGTTGCTCAATCATGATTTATTTTGACGTAATTTTTTTCTGGCTTACATTAGTGATTTAATTTTCAAAAAAAGCTAAATGAGTTTGATAATTATGAAAGAAAAAAATTTCAAATCTTTTTTTAAATGTGTCAAAGAAGGTTTTTAAACTGGTGCAAAAACATAAAAAAAAATTTTACATAAAAACTTGTGTTCACTTCAAAAGTCGTCTTTCTATTCCACAATTTTATGGTTCTTGCTTTTATATTCTTTATAATATAATTAATATATTCTTTTTATTCTTCTCTCTCCTTTATGAACATTCCCTTTAAAGGGACTGTCAACGAAATAACAAGCTACCCTCCAATTCACAACGGTACCCTTGTCTAAGCAATAAAGATGAAAATATTGACATTTTTTAAATCATGGAATTCTGACGATTTTATTCCTTCTCTCTAGTCTCTACAATGAAAATCCGCAAGTTACTTTTCGGAGAAACAATAAAAAAAATTATTAATGTTCAAACAAAAAACCAATAAAATCTTCAAAATTTTGGACAGAGAAATGTTTAAAGGGAACAATTGTCAATTATCTACATGCACTTGAAATTACGTCTATTGTCCATTTAAGACGGTAATAAATGCTCGAATCACCTTTAAGAGTTCGTTTCCTTGAACTAGAGCAATAAGCTCCAGGGCATCCCCAGCATCTAAACAAAATAATATTTTTACGTTATGGCTGAAACATTTTTTCTTAAGAATAGTTATTTATGAGGGATACGTTGATCCTTTCTTTTTCTTCACATTTTCACACATTAGATTTTAAAAGAAATAACAAATCTGCAAAAAAAACATCTGTATTGCGATAATTAAAGGTTGGAGTAGAGGTCGTTCTAAGACAAGATGGTATCTGGCTGTTAATCTATATAATGAAGCTCTTTGCTAAAGCAGGCTAAACGGTTGGACCAAGTTGTCTGAAATTTTGTTTTGGAAACACAATATTTTTTTTAAAATTCCACAGGCCACGCTGGGCACTTCATGGCTAGTGTTAAAATCCACATCTTAATCCTACCCACGGCACCCACACGGCTTAACAACTCCGGAATCCCCCTTTTTGAACAGTTGTACCATCGTGAAAAAATAAAAGATAAAAATATGAAAACGTACCCAGATTAGAAATTATGCTTCTGACTGCTAGCGCCAGTCTCTCCTGGTCACTGTACGTCATCTCTTGCATAACCTGTAGCGTACAGTGTAAAATGTACAGGGTGTCCCACGAAACATGACAGTAATAATACAGTATTTGGAAGAAGACATTCAGAACTATTCACAAACTGTCGTGTCTCGCGGGACACCTTGTGCAGTCAAAATATATGATCTTTTCTTGAAATATTTTTTGAATCAAAGTCTGTTCCTAAAAATTCTAACTAAACGGACTGAGCTGAAAACTTTAGAATGATGGATATCAAGATTAATGCTTAAACTCCTGATTTAACTAAACCCAATATTATTTTATTACGCATTCGATATCCAAGAAAGAAGTGTAAAATTCAAACAATCAGCGTATCATGTTAAGATGTACAATTTAACTTTTGAAAACCCGGTTTTTTTCTGGTGTTAATTGTGTCATATCAATTAAACGAAACATCGATAAAATAAATGTAAGTTTTGGATTAATGTTTATTAAGACTTACGTTAAAAATGATGATAGTCCTAAAATGTGATAAAATATATTTTTTAATAAGTTCATATAAACATGATTAAATTTATAATTGCTTAAATGCACTAAAAGCCGGCTTGTGAACAGCTGACTTTAATTCAATCGGATATTAGTTCAATCGATATAGCATTGTATCTGTAATTGTTATCAAGCGTAACTTTTATACAGTAGGGATATCCAAAAAAGAGGATTAAGGATATCTCATTCCAAAGATTTCAGCTCTGGACCAAGATTTTGAATAGATCGGGAAAAATCAGGTGTTTGTATTTCTATGAGTTTGTTACTTAAAAGTTCAGAACTTTTGATTTGAGAATCTAGGGATCAAAATCTCCGTCTTATGCAGAAGACCCCTACGGATTAATCTAATTCCTCTTTAGTATCCCGTGCTAATTAAAACCCTGCAGGGATAACTGAAATGAAGAGATCAAGTGTTAAAACCCATAGAGAATAGAATATATTAGAGTGGAATTTACTAAAAAAAGTGTAAAACGGCCATTTTGTTGTACTGCTTCCACACTGCAGGTGTACTTCACATATTTGTGCTATATAACCTTTTGGGCCCTGGAATATCATTTTATAGAAAATCTAAAATTATTGTTAAAAGAAAACCAAATTAGGAAATAGGCTGGTTTCATAATTGACCAATGATCATTTCAAATAGACTCTATGCCTTTCACTTTACAAACGATGATTTTCCGTTATAACTATAAATCAAATGATGTTTTTTATTCACCTAATTCATTATAAAGTTTATTTAACAGTTTAAAAAATTCGAAATTGAAATGGATAGTCTAGGGAACAAACTGTATTAATGTACTCTACTGCATATAATTTGTGAACATTTACATGATTTGTACACTTTGAACTCCCTTTCTGGCTGAAAGGGACTGATAAAATTCATACCGAGAGATTCTCTAAATTACTCTCTAATATATATTCTATTCTCTATGATTTAACCTCAAATAAAAGTTCCCACATAGGTCACCTAGATCAAGCATTCAAGATTAACTTTGCAGAATATTTCACTCAAAAGTGCCGTTCTCAGGAATTTGTCTTTTAGGAGTTAGGAGTTTGTATTTTAGGAGTTTATCTTCTATTAGTTTGTCTTTCAAAAGTTTGTATTTTAGGAGTTTGTATTTTAGGATTTTATCTTTAAGGAGTTTGTTTTTTAGGAGTTTGTATTTTAGAAGTTTGTCTTTCAAAAGTTTGTATTTTAGGAGTTTGTATTTTAGGATTTTATCTTTAAGGATTTTGTATTTTAGGATTTTATCTTTAAGGAGTTTGTATTTTAGGAGTTTATCTTTTAGGAGTTTGTTTTTTAGGAGTTTGTATTTTAGAAGATTGTCTTTCAAAAGTTTGTATTTTAGGAGTTTATGTTTTTGGAGTTCGTTTTTTAGGAGTTTATCTTTTAGGAGTTTGTATTTTAGGAATTTATCTTTTTGGAGTTTGTATTTTAGGAGTTTTTCTTTTAGGAGATTGTATTTTAGGAGTTTATCTTTTAGGAGTTTGTTTTTTAGAAGTTTGTCTTTCAAAAGTTTGTATTTTAGGAGTTAATCTTTTAAGAGATTGTATTTTAGGAGTTTATCTTTTTGAGTTTGTCTTTCAGAAGTTTGTATTTTAGGAGTCGTCTTTTAAAAATTTGACATATCGCTTCTTATTCTATTTTGTTTGGCTTCACAGTTAAATGATTCGTATAAAGAAAAAATGGCTAAATATGTACAGTGAAACCCTTAATAACGATTACATCGGAAGAATTTATCAAATGTCTTTTTGACAACTTTTCAATTTTTATACTATATTACGTAAATTTCAGTATTTGCGAAAATAAATAAATATCCATGAATATGCGGGAACAGTTTTAAAGAGTTCCATATAATCATTTAAATAAAAACTAAATATCTGCAACATTCCATTATCAGAAAGTGAAGAATACGACAGTTGATGAATGCTTTCGATGTATTCGTTATTAAGGGTTTTACTGTAGGAAAAAAAGAATGTCCAAAATAGTCGTCTTTGAAGTCTCATTCTTTGTGGATGCTCCCGTACTATACCTGTGAGACAGGACGGAATGTATCAGCAGTATAGGCAGCAATAACCCCTGAAAAAGACACTAAAGTTGTGATTTATAAAGCTTAGTTAAAAAAATATATATACTGTTATCTACAGGGTTACTCAATAAGGATGAGACTGTAAAGACGACCTAAATCTCTAAAATATGAGGATCCCAAGGTTAACTTTGGTTTTCTGTCTTAAATGTAGTCATTTAATGCATGCTTAACTAATTATTTGGCAAATAAAGAAAGAAGTTTAAAGTTGCAGGGAATTATGAGTTTAAGAAAGCATTCCGTACAGTCGTCTCTGAAGTCTCACATTTTGTGGGAAACCCTGTCTGTTTAAAAGTACATACCACCGACAGCTCCTCCAACGGCTAGTCCTGCAGGGCCGAGGATAAATGCACAGATACTGGCAATACTACCAGTTATCAGGCCTCCCTTCAGGGACTGTCTATCACAGCAAATCAAGATAACGGATAAAGTTTTTTTAATGGGCCCAAAATTAATAAAAACTAATTTTTCTCCTAATCTTCAAATCTAAAACTGACATCAGATGAAACCCCCCCCCCTCAAAAAAAAACTTTCCCAAAGATTAAACGACTTTTAAAATATCTTAACAGGGAAGGCATGCAAACGAAGGGAATGAAAGATTTTTTTCCAATTTATTTTTAAGTAAATTTTTTTGTTAACAAATCTTAAAAAGGGCAGTAAATATTTTTTTTCTCTGACTGTTGTATCTTTTAGCTGATCATACATTTGTTTTCTGTTCCTCTCTTTTAGATTTACGCATTATAATCCTTTGTAGACAAGGGAAAAATGCATTTTGATACATATTTCTGATTTTTTTTCTCCTTAATATTACGCTTGTTACGATTTGTTTTCCATGCAGAGGTGTCAAATTTCTCTGACAAGTTATATTGAGGAATGATGATGCAGCTTTTTCATCGAGCTAATATTGTTCATATTTATATATTCTCACAGGTTGGAAAAATAAAATTCACTACTAAGCAGGGTATGCAAATTCTGAGGATATCCATTGTCAGAATTCCGCCTTAATGTAAGATTATAAAGCTTTCACAAAAAATATATAGATTAATAATTCTTATCTGATAAATTCACATTGAGAAGGAACTGGTAAACTAAGATAGTGGTAAGTTTGATTCACAGTGGTAATCTTTAAGCTTTTGTCTAATGAAGAATGGAATAGATATCCCAGATCCCTGACAATATAGCTGAAAAAGGGTTATTTTGAATTGTGGTGTCTCAACGGAAGTTTAAAGGTTTAAAGGGTATAGTTGTGAATAGAACATGCCATGCTTTTTTAGAACAAAGGGTGATATGAAATTTCATGTCCAGTTGATGAAAGGGGACTAAATTTTTTAATTATATGCAGTTTACTCAACCCTCTAAAGAAGTTTTGCAAAACTCTTGATAATTTGCTGACCTCAGAGTGACCTAAAATATTATATGTCCTTAAATTTAAAATTTCAAAATCAATTTAACAGACTTTTTTTCTTTATAGAAGGGACCTTTACTTCTACAATTTACATAATATTATTAATACAACAACAACAACAACAACAACAACAACAACAACACAACACCAACACCAACACCAACACCAACACCAACACCAACAACAACACCAACACCAACAACAACAACCGGTTTTTGGCAGATTTAAGACGCGGCTCAAAATCATTAAATTTGGACTCTGGCTCGGATAAAGTCTTGAAATGGGTGATTAAAATATTTGACAAAGATCGCTACAATTTTACAGTTGAGGGGAATCGTGAATATGAGGAAATGGACTGGATAAATTTCGTACAGTTGTCTCTGAAATCCTGTATGCGAATAATGAATGTATACCTGGATCCCTTTTTCATCACTTAGCACTGTCAACAGTTCTAGAATATCTCTATATCTGACCACCATTTTGTTTTTCTGAAAAAAAATTTTAAGATTAAATTTAGATTTGAATCTTATACTTTTATTAATATAATGTATAATATAATAGATAAAGCGATCAAAAATTAAATATAGGCTGAAGAAATAAATGATTATCTTTTTAATGGGGGGGGGGGGGATAAAAAAAACTGTTTTCTCCATTTATGATACATTTTTGCCATAAAATTCATAAAATTTTCCCAAATCGTCAGAAAACAAACGATAAAAGTTTCATCATACCCAGTGAAAAATTATTTGTATGAATGATATCTTAAGAATATGTATACCCCTTATTTCATATTCTTTTAAAAATCCAAGATTTAAATTTTTAAGTAAGATGGGGGCTTAAAAAATTCAACATACTAGACCCCCCCCCCATACCTATCCTAACACAGATTTATATTATTTGGTTATTTGATACCCTTCACAAAGAATGGCTTTTCTTCGCCTTCTCAAGTATACAAATCTCTTTTACAACAAAATGGTTTTAAGAAATCTATAAATATATCAAGTAGTAATCTCTAATTGATCGTCTGTTTGCTTGGATGTCCGATCATATGAATGGAAACCCTAAAACGATTAGCCTCAAATTTTGATTGAGTAACTTGTAAGAACCACGGGAATATTCAAAACTCAGTTTAAAAATTCAAAGTTTAGTGGGTTTACACAAAAGTGTAAAAAATGCACTATTATAGGAGATAGACGACTTGGTAACCTACGAGAAGTTCCGTGACGAGGAAGGACTCAAGGAGGATAATCCTCCTAATATGATTTAATATGTCAAAAATTTGATAACCTGTAAATAGCAAAATATTTACTTCTGTTATTCACTTAATCATATTTAATCTGAAGGCCCAGTTTTATCTTTACAAACATTCGAGATAAAAACTTTTTATTAAATCCAAAGTTAACAGAAAACTTTTTATATTTAATATGTTTAAGATATAATGGCGCGTATTAAATGAGATTTCCATGGACTGTGGGAAGGATGTTTTAGCCCCGCACACTCTGCTACTGTTAATATTCATAGGTACATTCTTATACATGTAAAAATTGTAAAGAAGTTGGCATTAACGAAACAATTGTTTAATCTGGATCTGAAGTTATAGCAACTACTGACGATCTTGACAAAAATTAACAATAGTTTAATCTGGATCAGAAGTTATATCAACTACTGACGATCTATACCTCTACTTTACGTTCTTGCAGTCTCGGTAGCATTTTTAGGTAAATAAACAAATTCTCTAAAATGTTTACACAAAATCCACAAGTTTCACACAAAGCTGGGTTCCCAAGCTATTGGTAGAATAATGTTTTATTTCTAATCTTTTGTATTACTTTTTTATCAAAACATGCAAAATACTACTCGATGCTTAATCAAAGCAATAAAGGAAAACTGGTTGCCTAATAGATTTGATTGATTGATTGAATGCATGGTTATGTTGCTAAAGGAGCTAAAATTGCTAAAAGTATCGATCAATTCAGATCTGCATACAACCTAACCCATTTAATTTTACCGGTGTACCAGCGTGACCAACCTTGTCAGTTAAAAAATCCCCTAATTGTATGATAAAAAATTCCCCTATAATCCCCGAACCCCTCTTCTCCTTGAATACCCGAAAAATCCCCCAAAATAACCTCGAATTTTGTTATAATTTTGGGCTGAGACATCTAAATTTTTCGAGAAAAAATACAGTTCAAAGATTTTGTTTAGAAACTCCAATTTAATATCTACGAAAAGTTCTAAAAACCTGCACGAAAAATTGAACCAAATGAGTAAAATTTAATTTTTGAGAGAATTTCAGTAATTTTTCAATAAATTTGTATAAAATCTAAGAAAAATTAGCAAATTTATAAGAAACTTGAAAAATCCTCAAAAAAAAACCCCTACCTTACCCAAGCACTATTAAAATCCCAGAAACTTAACTTTTTGGGGATTAATCCCCAAGGTGAAGCTTGTGGATCAGTGGCACAGCTAGGAGAGGGGCGAACCGAGTCCCACCCCCCTCACTTGACTCCAATCTTTTTGACCATCTTATTCAAAATTTTGTCAATAAAGAAAAAAATACCAAAATTTTTCTTTTGCGCTTTGCGTGTCATTTCTAATAAAATTTATAACTATTTTCTCGTGTTCGACTTAAAGAAAGTCAGTCATTCTTAATTTATTCTCTCTAAACACATGTATATAAGGCGTGGTTGTACACGTATCGTTAGGGGAAGTACTGATGGGTGTGACCTCCTAGGGGACCAGAATATCCCCAGAAGTTTTGTTTAATAATAATAATAATAATAACAACGAGTATTACTATACATATACCATTTAAGTTTACACAAACCCTAACAACCTAAGAAGAATAACAAGAAATATAATAAGGATTATATCAGAATATTAGGACTTTTGCAGACCATAAGAGGAAAACAGATTAAGCCCCTTACTGGCAAACAAGGATAGAGAGACTTTGATCAGAAAGACTATTATGGCTTATGGACAGACGAAATATAGTCAAGAACTGGCAGGAACTACTTAATACTTAGGACTGCACAGACCTATGATTAAGGGACTACATAATGGACAAATATGACTAGTGGATGTATTACAAAAGAATTGCTGTAGACTGTAATACGGGACTTTATATGCATAGTGAATATGAATAACAGACACTAAGAAACCCACGAAAAGACACTAGAAGAACATGAGTTTTATGCCGCTTCGCGCACATGTTTAATTTATTAATATCGTTCATTTTAAAGCTGTTGTAAGAGTATTTTTTAAACACAAGAACAAGTCATGGATATTATAAGATTTTGGTATATTATTAAGCACAGAGCCAACCATTCAACAATTAAAAAAAGCTGTTTTTATACTTCAAATCTTGAAATTGCATCGGGTTTTTTAGAAAAATGTAAAACAGCAATCTGATCAGCTGGGTGAATCTAGGCCTGCAAACCATGCATGTTAACCACAAACACAATTGTTACTATTAATCATATATATCTATACTACTTAATTAATAATTCTAGGAAAAGATGATGCAATATGGGATCCTACGTGATTCACCACACAGCAAACTATATTCATGACAGCTTTATTTAATATCATTTATTGGGTTATATACTCTTTATAATTTATTTTATCACTAAACAAATGTTTTGAAACATGTGGCCAGGCTTTTCACTTAAAAAAAAGAAGTTTATTTGAAGAATTGTTATCAACTGTTTCAATGTAAACAAAAGTCAGCTGTTGAAACTTGATTTTAACTATGGTGGGGTTTTGCACAGGGTTATTATTTGACATTAAAAAAACATATTAGGCCGGTTGAAGGTTTAAAACTATATTTAGTGCTCGGGTGGTGAATTCTTTTAACATGCATTTTTATCAAAAAATGGCAATTTTAAGCAAAAATCTGATTTCTTCATCGATTAATGGATTTATTTCTGATGTAAGACGACGGAAGAAAAACATTGAATGCCGCGCTGTATTTTATATTCATGTTATAATAAGCCGAGCCTAGCTGCCCGCCCATCAACCGCCACGCCCACTGGCCCCAGCCATAGACCAATTTCAAGATCTGGGATATGGGTGTATAGATAAACTACTGGAACTACAGAGCGTCTCATATCATATTAGATTATCTCTAATCTTTAACTATAAAATAAACCCTTAATACTCGAAAAACTATCAGTTTCCGCAAGAAAATTCTTATATAAGCCTTATGTTATTTTTCAAATTGATTCATTCCAATTAAATTTTCTTATTAGTCCCGAAAATCGCAATTTAGACCCGTTGACGGACTATTATGATGTGGGACGCCCTGTATATAATGAGCTATTCACACTAGGAAGATGACCCCTGGACCGGAAACAAGCTGTTGTGGTCATGGTACCCATAATAAAAATAAGCCTGTTAAAGATCTGGCCTCATACAGACCTTTATCGGGTTCGTCCTAGAATATGATTTTTGAACCCCCCCCCCCCCCCCCTTCTATCAATATTGTACATGACCACTTATTTTTCAGCAAGATTATTATTATTCTAGGCTTAGGTTAGGTTAAGACCATTTCTAGGTCGAGCGCTGCGGCTAGGACAGGTTAGAGGGCCAAACGCTGCGGTCAGGACAGGCCTTCTTTCGCTAGATAAGAATTTTTTTGGGTTTGGCTAGGTTATGATACTTTCTGGGCCGAGCGCTGCGGCTAGGATATTCTAGAGTGCCAAGCGCCGCGGCTAGGACAGGCTAGTGGGGTCCAAAAATCGTATAATAGGAAATTACCTTGATTTTAATATATATTTTATGTTTTATTTTCAGAAATTAAAAGCAAAAATTGTGATATGTCAGGAATGGGGGGGTTTAAGTTCCCTGGAGGGGGGACAGGAGGAGCCCCCCCACCTTCATCAGGCAATGCCAAGGTGAGTAATTTTAACTTTAAAAGGGTGAATAGGAGTGTCTGAATGGTTTGATACATCATTATCGTTATTCAGAAGCATTGGCTGAGGCTTAAGAAAAAAAGTCAGTTCAAAAGTCAATTCATTCATGATATATCATTCACAATATTACAATATTTCGCTACCCCTCACCTGCTAACAGTATAATGTAAATTAAAATTGAAATCTTCAGTCGTCTTCATTGTATTGATATTATCGCCTACCATCGTATGTTTATCATTATTTAGAAAAAGCGACGAACAAGTCAAAATACTTCTGTCTCGGTGAATCAGCCGTCTCCCGTCGGTAAGTCCATTTTTGTCGATAATTGAAATAAATAAATAAAAAGACGATATTAATAGAATTAATTTTATATTCACGATCCCTTGCATCTGTAAACTTTTTTCTTTCTTTGTCAAATCATTTCATAGGCCACTAAAACCATATTCAAAGCAGACGACTTAATTTAACCTTGAAATCGGAATATTTTTAGAGTTTTAGGTCGTATTCACAGTCTCATCTGTAGCGGGTAATCCTTCTCCTGTGTGATAAATTTAATTACTGAAAGAAAAATCTCACTTTTTTCACTCAAATGTGGAACTATTAAAAAAATAGTCTAAAGAAAAAAAATTAATATTAAACCTTCAGTTTCTTATTAAATTTAAAAAATGAAATCTATATAAAAAGGTTTACTCCAATTTTGGTCTAGGTGACATGCACATGATGGGAGATACAGTATTTGCAAACAATCCCTTTGATGATGGACCAGGGGGGATGGGCCCGATGGGAGGACAAGGAATGATGGGCCCAAGGGGTTCTATGATGGGACCAGGTGGACCCATGGGGCCAGGAGGACCAATGGGGCCCGGTGGACCAATGGGACCTGGTGGGCCAATGGGACCAGGAGGGCCAATGGGACCAGGAGGGCCAATGGGACCCATGGGCCCAGGAGGACCGATGGGAATGGGGCCTAATGGGCACATGATGGGTGGGCCGATGGGAATGGGAGGTCCAGATGGCATGATGGGGCCCATGGGAATGGGACCTGGGGGTCCTTTGGGTATGGGACCTGGTGGTCCGATGGGAATGGGGCATGGAGGTCCTATGGGACATGGACCAATGGGGATGGGACCTAACGGACATATGGGTGGACCAATGGGACCTGGAGGACCAATGGGACCCGGTGGACCAATGGGACCTGGCGGACCTATGGGAGGACCCATGGGTCACGGCCCAATGGGACCAATGGGTCCAGGGGGGCCAATGGGGCACCACATGGGAATGGGACCTAACGGACCTATGCCTATGTCTTCTATGAGTGGACCTCCAATGTCAATGTCGATGTCGATGTCTGGGCCGATGTCGAGCATGTCAAGTATGTCAAGTATGTCCAGTATGTCGATGGGTCCAGGACCCATGTCTTCCATGAGTCCTATGGGTCCAGGTGGACCTATGGGACCAATGGGTCCTGGAGGACCAATGGGACCGGGTGGACCTATGCCGATTTCTTCGTCAGGAATGACGATTAATTCAGGTAAGTCTTTTTTCGAACAGGGGGGAACTTTTAAGGGTGTATATTTTCTAAAATTGCGCTGAGCTCTCAAAAAATGTCAAGGTTTTTTTCGCTAAATTTTGAACAATTCATGAATTTAGGGGAAAATGAATTAATTTTTTGGTAAAAGTACAAAAAAGCATTTTTCCCACGACATTATCTAAAATCATTATCTCCCAGGGGGAGGGGTAATTCTGAAAAATACACACCCTCGAGAACTTGTTAAATGTTTCTTGACAAAAATTTATCAAATTGGTTTAACATTAATCCATTAAAACCAAAATAACCACAGTGAAAACCTTAAAATCAATTATGTAAAAGAGTTAGTATAACTTTATAATGTAAACAATGTACAATTAATTTCAATTTAGTAAAAATGGACATATGTTTGATTACCTAAGTTGTGTACTGTAAACTTAGAACATGAACCATAAATATTACTGTACACTGCACAGGGTTGCTATAGTTATGTACTGTAAACAATGAACTGCGTACATGAACTTAAATTGACATGGTTTCAATTATGTGTTGTAAACTATGTAAATGAACCATATATTGTAAGCTTGTAACAATGTACTGTAAATATATACTGGCAGTACATGAAGTTCTGGACCGTACAATTTTATGTACTGCAACCATATATATGAACCATATACTTGAACTATGTACATGAACTATATACATTATACATAAACTATGTAAATAAACTAAGTACACATAAACCATGTACTCATGAACCACGTACACATGAGCCATGTACACATGAACCATGTACACATGAACCATGTACACGTGAACCATGTACACATGAACCATTTTACACATGAACCATGTACACAAGAAATATGTACATGAACTATGTACATGAATTATGTACATGAACTGTACTAGACTTGGTTATTTCCAGGCTGGCAGCATGTAGAAAGGGATCTATCACCTGTATACTCCACCAACCATGTACATTAAACATGTACAATATACATGTACAATATACATAAACTATGTACATGAACTGTACTAGACTTGGTTACTACTAGGTTGGCAGCATGTAGAAAAGGGATCTACCACCTGTATACTCCTTCAATTATGTACAATATACATGAACTATGTACATGAACTATGTACATGAACTTTGTACATGAACTGTACAAGACCTGGTTACTACTAGGTTGGCAGCATGTAGAAAGAGATCTATCACCTGTATACTCCTTCAACTATGTACAATATACATAAACTATGTACATGAACTATGTACATGTACTATGTACATGAACTATGCACATGAACTATGTACAATGGTACATGAACTGTACTAGACTTGGTTACTACTAGGTTGGCAGCATGTAGAAAGGGATCTATCACCTGTATACTCCTCCAACATCAGAATACATGGAAACCATAAAAGTACAAATATAATTATTCCGGCCTAGGAGCAAAAGAAAAATATTTTAATTTTGTTTTTAGAGTTTCAAGTGTTGGAAATTTCCCCCTCCCCCTTCAATTTTTTGGTTAGAACTAGGAAGATAAACCTTGCCTGTAGAAGAAATGATGTGCATTCCCCCCTCAGAAAATATCGTCTTTTTATCTGGAATCAAAGGATTATATTTTCTTGAAAATCATTTTTTCCTTTGAACTCGATAATTTGCAGGGGGGGAGAGGAACTAATCTTTGAATCAAGTATCAAAAATGTCCATTTTTTATTTTTCCCCCATATTACTTACTTACTTACTTTTTCTTAAAATATCTATGACTGCCTCTGTATAAAAAAGAAAAAAATCATGATTTAATCCTCTTCTAGGATAGGCGAAAATTGCACTTTAAAAATATTCTAAAAACTAACAATATTTTTAATACTTAGGTCCAGGCTCCGGTAGTCCTCATGGATCAGGTAATTTATCAAAAAATATTTGCTGCTGAAGGGCTGGTTGAGGGGGAACTTGTAGATTTCGAAGATCCAATTATTCATATTGGCCACTTTTGAATTTTACGCCAAATCTGCTTGATTTCTTGAATTTGGATATCCGAAATTTATCTCTTCTCTCATTGGTTGAACGCAAAATTTTATTCCTTCTGATTGGCACTACACAGAATATTGAGTATAGATTAATCCGTAGATTAACAAATGATTGAGTTCATGGATTGAATTCTCACTTCAGGATCGATATATGTTTAGGGCACGGAAGTGGACCCGGCACCCCTGTTAATATACCGATGGGTCCATCGTCACACCCGGGAACTGTTCCAATGGGTCCATCATCTCATCCAGGTTTTAATCTTAGAAGGGTTGAAGAGAGGTTTGATTGCAACAAGACAAGTACTTAGTAAACAATCATTTCTTAAAGCTACGTATAACAGTATTTTTGGGCACATCGTGTTGTAAAGTTTATGAACAGAAATTTTCTTTGTATCGGGAAGATTCTCGCCTTTTTAGATTATGTTTTGTCCCCCACATCCAGGTGTATTCTTAGCCTTGTTAAAAAATTCTAAAACATTATTAAATGTTGATGAGTCCTGGGACCGGATTTAATGAATTTGATCCACGTTCAGAGAGGATTCCACCACATATCTAGAGATTTAAACTCCGCGGCGGTAAATAGTTTCATTAAATTCGGTTCCGTCACAGATATAGAGAAATTTTAGAATCAAAACTGTTAAACTGTTAAAGAAGGGCCAACCGATTACCCCAGGGTTGTGTAGTTTCGTGAAAGAAGGGCTAACCGATTACCCCAGGGGTGTGTAGTTTCGTGAAAGAAGGGCCAACCGATTACCCCAGGGGTGCGTAGTTTCGTGAAAAATCAGAGTTTTATTCGCTGCATTGGGTAAAATAAATGATTTAAGAGGAAATAAAATCAATTTTGGGGTAAAACGTGTGAAAACATATGAAAAAAACTTGCCTTTTTCTCCCAGATCACAAAAATAAATTTTTATTTAAAAAAATTACACAGCCCTGGAGTACACAATCCAATATCCATGATTATGCGGACAGAGGCGACATAAGGGGGGAGTGTAGAAGTCCCCCCACCCCCCGGAAAAATTGGGGGGGGGGGATGGGTTCCGCCATGGACAACTCGCCCCCCCCCCCCCTGGAAAATCAGACGCACAAGAATAAGAAATAAGAATCAGAATATCGTAAGCCGCCCCTGTATGTGGAAGTTTTAGAAAAATAAAAAAATATTAATTTATAATTGTTTAGGAATGGGGGGTCCGAGCCCATTATCTATGAATATGGAGAAGGTGTATCCCTCTGACCAACCAATGGTCTTTAACCCACAGGAACTAATCACATTTTTCAACAAAATCCACTACATTGTACTGTCCATTTATAGGTTTTAAAAAAAGCTTTGTCTGACCAAGAATGAATGAAATTTCCATGTTTATCTTCTAAAAACTTTATTTTTGCTTCAAAAGCTGCTTGTGCGTTTCGGCTGCAGAAGAAAAAAATGTCAGAATTAAACCCTTTTTCATACTAAAAACGACGATCTCTTCCATATTATTGATCAGTACAGTTTTGAACGGTAACCCCCTTTCAAGATACTTTATAGATACGGTTGGTCTGGTATTGTATGTACTATGTATGAAGTACGTCTAAAAAAGTTCCTGTGACATATTTTAGAATTAAATCAGTTACAAATAAAAGCAATCTTAGCGACATTTAAGACGAAAACTATTAAATTTTAATTTGGTAACCATTTTATTTTGTACATTTTCATTAAATAGCAATTAAACCTCACTAGCAGAATTTAGTTTAAAACCCTGGAAAGGATGGAATCATAAGGAATCATAAGGAAGTGAAAAGAGTAATTAAAGCTTTTAAACTTGATACGGCCAAACCAAAGTTCAGAGCTGGGAACTCGAGATCAATGCTTGATCTGGTTTTTTCCTTAATCAACAGATTAATTTTATTTTTATTTGATATCTCGCATGGCAATCGTTCAGTTAGCAAGTCAGGGGAAGGTCAGGGAAGAATAACTAAACGAAGATATGAAAATTATAGTTTTTATAGATCCTCAATTTAAAAGTGCCCATAGTGGATATCAAGATCAGGGCTATCGGGATTATGACACAAAAGTTTTCCAACTCTACTTTAAATTCTGATTTGTTTGAACAGAATCCGAATGCTCCTCCCATCTATCCCTGTGGAATCTGCCATAAAGAGGTTCACGATAATGACCAGGTATATTATACACAAAGCTTTTTCTGGGGTTGTGTTTAGAAAAAGAGAGGGAGACAAAGACGACATTTAAAAGCAGGACTAATATAAATTAGTTAATATCTGTAGGATTCATTGATAAAGATGTTCATTTTACCACCTTTTGACCAACATTACCGACCCATGATTCCCCCAACATCTTAACTGTCCCTTAGTACATTTAAATAAAATAATATCCCGCATTGAGTAGTTTTCTTGAAAAAATTGGCACTCATTTCACAATACAATGTTACCTAATCAAGGTTTCCCTCGACCAATTTTGCCTACAATTGCCTTGGGCAGATCGCCTGGTGTAAGTCCCTAGGGCCTCGCAAGCCGCGTTTCCCATGGATACGTTTCGGCGGCTTGGAGCCCCGACCCCTATTTTATTGAATGATGGTCGATTGGTTGTCCTTTAATAGTAATAATAATAATTAGGCTATTCTGTGCGAGTCTGGGTGTAATTTTTGGTTCCACCGAATCTGCACTGGACTGGCGGAAGCTGCCTTCCATTTTCTCACACAGGTTTTAATACTCTTATTCACAAATTTTGTATTTTTGTTTCGCGCCACTTTTTTAATTGATAATTTTAGCCAAGGGTGGACCCATTTTTTTAAATAAAAACAAAGTTTAGAATGTTTTTCTATCAATTTTTGTGACAAAATAAATAATGTTGGTTCGGCCCTTTTGGCGTATATTAAAAAACTGACGTCCAAATTTGCTATAGTCAATACAATTTTAGAAACGGGCACTGTTGTGAATTGCCATTGGTGCCTTGACATTCATGAAAACAAGAAAATTGACAAGTTAATCAAAAATTATTTAATTTCAGGAAATCTACGCTGAATGGGTTTGTGATAAATGCTTTACTCATAAAGACGTGCCTTTGGTCAAGTTCAAGCCGTAAAATCTACGCATTGGTCAAATTCAAGCCGTAAAATCTATGCTTTTGGTCAAATTCAAGCCGAAGAATCTACGACTTTGGTCAAATTTCAATCTGTAGAATCTACGACTTTGGTCAAATTCAAACCGTAGACCCTAAAGTCTATAAAGTAAACCAAGACGACTAATCAGGACGATTGATTGATTGATAGATCAAGTTTAAGCAATAATTTTAAGTATTTTATAATAATTTACCTTTTGTGGATGATTATGTCTTTATCTTATTAATATAAACTTTTAGATTTTAATGAAATACTTTATTTTATTAAGTAAATGTTAGCTTTATGAGAAGATATCAATTCAGAGTTAAAAGTATGTGGAAAAATTATTCTTATCATTAATTTTTTTTTTACAAACTACACAGTACATAAATATTTTTTATCAAATTGACTTAGTAATTTCAAAAAAAAGTTCTGAGTTTCCAAAAATCAAAATTCATCACTGAATAGGAAAAATACATTGAAAATTTTAATAAGATTTTGAAGAGGGAACTTATTTATTAACATTTACTCCTGTTTTGTGGTTATTGGTCAAAACCAAAACTATGTTGAATAATCTCAGTATTTTAAAAACAACCAAATATAATTATTGCAGCAGTTCGTTCTTAATGCAAAAAATAAGAAAGTGTTTTTTCTATATTTGGAAATAGCTTGTTGGTTTACCCTAAATGATAAGTTACCACAATCTCATATGTGAAATAATATTTCATAGATTTTGTCATTTTTTATTATATTATGTTATCTCTATTTTTTAACCTCCAAAACTTATGAAATTTGTTTGTATAATTTTATGAATTGACATTTTTTATAAGTGATGCCATGTTTTATTTGAACTGTAAAGAAGTTTGTATTTTCTAAAACACTTAAACCGTTTTTTTTTATCTGACGCCCAAATGTTAAAATTGATCACACAGATTTTATAGTTTACATGATTTATGACTTTTTATTTTATAGCCCTCCCCTTTTTTATAAACCCCCTTCTTAGGGAAAATTATGTACCTGGAGTACTGTTGTACAATTTTGAATTTTGTACAACTGTTGTAATGCAAATGTACTTCTCTACACTACATGTTGTTACGATAATGAATGCTGTACAACTCTTTCATATAATGTACAATTTATAATACTAATGTACAACTGCACAACGTTTTTAAGTTCAACAACTGTACAGTGTACAACTAACTGTACAACTATGTTTAATGTATATTACAGAAGTATGGCTGGAGGGCCGGAGAATGATATATTGATCGAGGAAACAGGACCAGACTTTGTTGTCAGGTGGGGATTCAGCCATTTTCCAAGATGGCGATATTATTTCATATTTATTCAACTACAAAGCACGAGATAATGCAAATAAAAAAAATCACAATTTACTATGTAATTTGGACCCGCCTAACCAGAGTAGGTTGTTTTAATTGGTTGGCCCACTATAAACGAATGAGAATTGCAGATAAAAACAATGTACATTGTACATGATCAAAAATTATTTTTTTCAGCTTATAAAGGGACTGTAGACTTAAAATTTCGCTACCAGTCCCTTTAAGCTTAGATTATTATAATATAAAATATTGAATACTTATTAAGAACCTTTAAGGGCAAATTAAATATCTTTGTTCTTAAATTGTTTTTTCTTGGGCGGGATGTTATATCTTATAATTGTCCCTTGGGTTCAAAAGTTACTAAAAAGTTTAAAAATGAATATTCCACTTTTACTCTAAATAAATTCATATTTTCACGCTTATTTTTTTCTCTTTGCAGGCCTTTAAATTAATTGTATCATTTGGTACAACCGTTTTGGCGTTCTTGAGCATAAAACAGACAGACCTAGATAAAATATTTTTGTTGCAGGAGCCTGGAAGGGTTTCTCGTTGGTGCTGAGTATTGTGATTTATTGTTTATGTGTAAAAATAACCAAGTTCTTCAGGTAAAAATAAAAAATGCCTATTTTTGGTGATGGGAAGTAACAATTTTTCAAGAATGTTGGGAATAGTTTTCGATGCTTTTGAAAATTAAACATCTAAAAGCAAGATTTTTTCATTAGTTTTTGTCCAAAAAATTCATTTATTCTCCTGTAAAGATCTTTTATTTTCCCTAAAAAATATTTTACATCCCCCAATTTACCGGGAGAGGGGGGGGGGGAACTATTTAAAAATATAAAACTGGAAATCGAAAATATGATACCTTTTACCCAAAACTTCGTTTATTTTCTACGATTAAGCGCAAATTTCTAAAAATATTATTTTTGCAACGCGCAAACAATCTGATATCGGGAGGAATGAAAACGGAAGATGTATAAAATATAAAAAAAAATTGGCTTCAAACATAAAAAAAAAAACCATTAAAAAAACTTTTGTATCACTACCATGTAAATGCAAAATGCATTAAATATACTTCACTTTGCTAACAGAAGTAAAACCAGAACCTTCCAATGAAGATTTATTATGTAAACCAGTGCAACTCCTTCTACACCCTTGGGGTAATCAAAAACTAAACTAAAATTAAAAATAAATAATTTTATTGACATTGTTCAGGCACACTGTGCAGTAGTATCAGCTGTATCTGGATACATTAGAGAGCTTCTTAGGTGGGGTTAAATTGGTTGATACTTGGATATATGGATTTATTGATTCATTGATTCATTGATTCATTGATTCATTGATTTATTAATAAAATTGATTTATTGATTTATTGATTTATTGATTGATTTATAGATTTATAGATTTATTGACTGATCAAATACTAATTTTAATGGATCTTTTATCTGTCTCATTATTTAATTGATGATGAAATGATTTATTGATTATAGATTTTTTACCAATCTCATTGATGATTGATTGATTGATTGATTTATTGATTAGAAATGCGTATATTGTATATGATGGTATGCATCTCCAACTCCATAATATATAACTACGAGACAGGCCCGTTGCAAGGGGGGGTGCAATGACGAATTTTCACCCCCCCCCCCCCTAGTCCCATATAAAAGAAATTGTTTTCATAAGTTTCTAAAATCTAGTTATAAATTATATAGCCTGAGTAAGAATTGATTTCGAAACCAAATTATAATCTATTTGTGCGTTACTCATTAAAAGTGTGACGGAGTTTTTGTGTACTCTCTCATCTCATCCCCCTGAATCATGTCTCTCCTGTGACCTATCGAAGGCTAACTAACAGTTGATCAGTACACTCTATTGATTAAATATAACACAACATCAAAATTCACTCACAGTCATTTAATAGTTGTTTAAGTCTAATTAAAACAGTATGATTTATTAATTATATGCTGCATTATGCATAGAATCCCATGGAAATGAAATGGTAATCTCCTGTACACTTTCAGACTTTTAGCCCCCCCCCCCCCTTGACTGGTGTGCTATGTTTTATGAGTCTGTTTTTTGAGGCATTTCCGTGGTGAGGCGTTTCCATAGCACCCCCTTGACCCTTGAAAAGCTCTTTTTTTAAATGAATAAGAAATAAGATCATATCATTTTCATATTGCAAAGTCAAAGTAATAAATGATTACTTGACTCTGTTAGTTAAGCAGTACTCCCTTAAAAGCTCAAATACACTTGTTAAAAAGGTTAGCCTTTATAGTGTGCATTGACAATGTAATAAAAACAACCATATACCACTGGAAAACAAAACCAAAAAAACAAACCAAACATTGTTTGAAAAATCATTTTAAAAACCCAAAAAAAATCCTGGTTACGGGCCTGCTACGAGATATTGATTATCTGGTTGATTGATTGATTGATTGAATAGGGATGCGTGTACTGTGTATGATGGAATACATCTCCAACTCCCGGATATAGAACTTCGAGATATTCAGAGCTTTCTAGAATTAGTTTATACAGGTTAAAAAACCAAAGCAATGTAATCGGAAAAAAAAATTTTGTAAACAAATATAATTTCTCTTTTATAAAAAGACTTAAAACTAAATTTGAAGTAACCTAATCCTCCATTTTAAAAACAGAGTGGCGTGAACAATACACAACTCAACCCTTTTTAATTGTCGTGTCACTTAAATTCGTGTATTATGATATTTATAATTATAATTCCTTTTCATCCTACAAGTCTGTTCACAAAATAAAATATTTTTTTTGTTTCCCGATATGAGTTAAATTAGTGTCTTCACAGAAATATAAAATCTGTATCTGTCTTCTGTTAGATTTTCCAACCCNTTGTAATTTTACCTTTCCAGGTCGGGAGTCTTTTCGTAATCCCGATTGTTTGAACTCAATATTCAATGCGGGCACTTTTAATTTGAGGATCAACGGTTAATCTCTTTTTTTTAGTTATCTTTGCGGGGTACGATTACCATGTGGGATATCGATTAAATATAAAATTAATCTGCAGATTAACAAAAGATCGAGATTAAGCATTGATCCCAATATCCGCAATACAAGAGTTCCTAGCTCAGAGCTGAAAACTTTAGAATGAGATATCCTTAATCCCAATTACTTAATCTGAATATCCAATGGACAGACTTTTGATTTTCTTCCTAAACCGTTCCTTTTTGGATAAAGTAGAGAAAAATCAAAAACCGGTTTTTTAAATTAGAGAGTTCCTTCTGTTTCTGTATATTAATCTTAAATGGGGCGCAAAATTTTAAATTTATTAGCTTCATATACACGACTCTGATTGGTTGAATTTTATATACTTTTCAGGATACTAGTTACAGATTAGGTTAGTCTCAATAGTAAGAAAAAGTTAAAGAGAGGATCAAGCGTTAATCTCAGGGGGCGGGCATAACTCTCCTAATTTTGCCTGGCTAGGTTTATACTGTACAGTGAATTTTGTCGAAAAATGTTTCCTTATGACTGAGTTGGTATCATAGAGTACAGTGGGTTTAATCCAAAGTACATCTATTTGTACGGTATTGTGTGAACAGTTAATTTTAATATTTTTCAACAATGAGATATTGTAGTGTCAAAGCTTCATTTTTATACAAAAATCATATGTGCTTGTTTTCTTTGCTTCAATATTGTAGGCTTCAGATTCAAACAAAAATGTCTTAAAACACTTATCTACGAATTATGATCCCCCAGGTAGAATTTCTGATCGGGTCATTGTGTACAGTGGCTGTACAACAAGAAGTCTAAAATTCCAGATGCCCCCTCTATTACTAATATCTCGATGGTTAATCTCAATATCCACCATTCTAAAGTTTTCAGTTTAGGGCACATTTAAAAGAACCTTAAAAAAGTTAACATTTTTTTACAATTTTTCAATTTTTATTATTTTTAGGAATAGCGTCAGTTCCCAAGGAGTCCAAGGATCCGTTTATACAACTACTAAATCTGTTAGGGAACTAGAATAATAATAACTAGCTCAAGGGAGGGAACTAGAATAATAATAACTAGCTCAAGGGTCCGGCGTCGGTGTTGCCCGTGGAAAAAAAAACACATTTTAAATCGATATTTTTTGCCTTGAGTTTCCTACAAAAAATTTCAGCTCAATCGGTCCAGCCGTTTGGCCGGCCAGAGGGAACATATATGTCTTGTTTTATTATATAGAAGATACAAATAATAATATAGATAGCAAAAATTATAATTCTAACAATATAAATTATAATTTTCAAACCTTCCTCCGAAAAGAATTATTATCCGTGAATACTGAGAAATTTCTCACAAAACTCCTTTGTTGTCTCCTCTTCATTTTGCCCCCCCCCACACACACAAAAAATCATATGATATTTTTGCCGGTCTGGGGGGGGGGGGAGAAGCCCAAAGTAGTACATGCTTTGAAGACGGTGCACTAAATACATAAAATGAGAAATATTTGTCTTTAGAATAGGTTATTGTATACAAAAAACAGAGGGAAAATTAGGCTAAATATCGCCAAACAAATACATTGTTTTTGGATGCAAAAAATATTGGCAATACAAACGTATTTTTTATGATATAAAAAATAGATTTGATTTAATACGGTAAAGTAAAAAACTACATATAAAAAATTAAAAGACGACCTTCAAACTCTTTTTCAGATGGAGTACCGTCTGCAAAGCATGTATAATCATGTGATAAGGCGGGCCGGGTCGTTTTCTTCTCCTTTATATTCCATACTCCTTAGATAAGCCCCACTGAAGACTCTGATGGACGCCCCCCCTCCCCCCCCCCCTCTTTCCAAGAAATATCATATAGGTTCTTGAAACTGAAAAACAACATAAAAAAAATAATCAGACGAAATGGGGATCTTTATATTACCAAGTGCAGTGGTGAATAGAGAAAAAGATTTAAAAATATTATTCTGTGTGTTCTAGAGGTGAATGACAATATTGTTGTAGAAGAATATGAAGCTGCCACCAATGGAAACCAATTTTTTGTCAGACAGGAAAACCATTTTTTTCTTCAGTTTTTCTTAATTTTGCCAATTTTCGCTAATTTCTCAGAAGGAACAAAAGACGTTGACTCAGGGTACCCTCTATTCATAGATTGCCATATCTGATTTTAGGGGACATTAGTTCATTTCTAACACTGAGTGTTAGAAAGATTGGGTATTTGCATCCCTTCCCATTTTGGGAGCAACGCCAAAAGTCGAGAATAAAAACAATGGCCAACATTTTACAAAGAATGACAGGAATACAATTTTCAAAATTAAATAAATTTTAAAAATTTATATTGGAAAAAGAGATTTGTTTTGATAAAAAAGCTTTACTGTCAAAGGCGATGCCCGTTTTTTTTTCAATTTTCAAGATATATCCCGAATTGTAATCATTTCAAGATATATCCCGAATTGTAATCATTTCAAGATATATCCCGAATTGTAATCATTTCAAGATATATCCATTGTAATCATTTCGAAGATATATCCCGAATTGTAATCATTTCAATATATATCCCAATTTGTAATCATTTCAAGATATATCTCGAATTGTAATCATTTCGAAGATATATCCCGAATTGTAATCATTTCAAAGATATATCCCGAATTGTAATCATTTCAAGATATATCCCGAATTGTAAACATTTCAAGATATATCCCAATTTGTAATCATTTCAAGATATATCCCGAATTGTAATTATTTCGAAGATATATCCCGAATTGTAATCATTTCGAAGATATATCCTGAATTGTAATCATATTCGCGCATTGGGCACAACGCTCACACTAGCAAGTCCCGAGAGTATAATCTGCAATTCAAAACAATATTCACTTTCATAACTTAATGAAATAAATCACTGAAAAAAAATAATCTTTAATTTTACTTTTTCAAAGAATCTTGTTTTGTTACTTAAATGCTTGAAAATTGACATTGATTTGAATTAGAGTATTTTAGAAATGGGTCAAATCGCGGTTTGGAACTTGGATGTCCCCTGGCCGGATTCACAAGGGTACCCTATAAACATTTATCTGTTTAACAAATAAGAAGATGTTGCCAATTTTTTTGGAAAGTGTTAAATTCTGATAATTTCTTTGCTGTCTCGGCTACATAAATTCGCAAGTCACTTTTTATAGAGAATCAACATTTAAAAATAATTTAAAATTGAATAAAAATGGTTGTTAGGCTGTGTCCCCAGTGCATACAATTAAACAAAAATCAAAAAGAAAACGCAGAAAAGTAAGTTTCCCTCAAGGACAAACTCTTTATTCAGGGATGTATATTTTCTCCATATTCAGGGGTGTATATTTTCTCGGAAAATTACCCCCCTCCCTTTGATGTACAATAATTGTTCCTGTGGGGAAGAGAGTTAATTCTGAAAAAATACCCCTGTTCATAGTTGTTAACAAATAAAATGTACTGCAGTTTCTGGGACACTAGTAAACAAACACAGAGCTGCTAAGGCCGAGCCACAGGCTCATACACTACCTAGATAGGCTGAGCAGGCCTAGAGTGTCCCGGCACGCCATGCTACGGTTCCGTGTAATGTTTTTTTGAATGACATCTCACGGCCACTTGTTACATTCAGGGGTTAATTTTTACAATTTTTAAAGAAATACTCCAATTTTAAACATAAAAAATAACGTTCATGAATATTGTCTTTTTTCTAAAGATTTTGCATTTCCTATATAAAGGATCCTTAAATATCCCTCAATACAGATGTCTCCTGATTGGTCGTGTACAGTCCTTGTACACAATAGAACATGGTGTGGAAAATATCGCATATTATAGGTGTTAATCGATCTCTGTCATCTCTGTTATCTCTGGACGAGACAATACTGAAATATTATTATTAGATTGCCCCTGAGGATGATATAGTTGAGGTGAAAGTAGATTTCTGTAATTCTCAACCCTTGCAACCACATCTTCTAGGCACCTATTCTCAAATAATAATAAATTGGACTGGTCACGTGATTTCAAGGAACTCTCGAGTCTTTAATTCAAGAAGTGTATATTTGCTTCTCAGTGGTGTTAGATATTTTCTCTAAGACATATTACAACGTGACAATTTCCCAATTGGCCCCAAATGTGCAATTTCCCAATCGGCAACTTCCCAAAGGTTAGGTTAGGCCTGCTGAGGCGCCGTAGGCTGTTGGGGGGGGGGCGCTGTGGCTAAAACAGGCTAGGGGTTGCGCGTTGCGGCTAGGACAGACTTGGGAAACTGCACATTCGGGAAGTTGCCATTTTGGAAATCTCCTATGGGAAAGTACCTAACATCCTTACTTCGGTATTCTTTAAACCTTCCTCTGAGCAAAGAAAGATATCTTGGAATATCTCTGAGAATATCTAAGTGAATTTTGATTTTGTTTTTATTTTTATTTTAACACTGCACTTTTTTTTACGTTTCAGAACCAAATTTTTTTATTTTGAATAAATTTATTTTTAGAAATATTTGCGTTGTTCAAAAATTAGAAACTAAACTTGATGTCTTTTCTCGTGTCGAGTATACAGATTGCCTTCAATCCGGAAATGTCCCGCATTGATTGAATTTTTCTTGATGAACCTTTGAGAATTGGATTGTTCAGAATATTGTCAAGATAGAATTGGTCAAGATGTCAACCTCAATGATACAGATACAGGTAGTAGATACAAAAACATGATACAGGATACAGAATATAGAATATGATAATCTTATGAGGAAAAAAAATGTAATAATGGAAATTCTTAAACGAGATGAAATAATCTTGATGTATTCTTTAACGAAGGCCGCAGGCCTGAGTTAAAGAATGCATCAAGATTATTTCATCGAGTTTAAGAATACCATTATTACATTTTTATCCTCATAAGATTATTATTATATCATATTTGTGAGGTTCCATGGGCACATATCCAAGAAATTATATTAAAAAATAATGTTGTTATAAAAGGTAAGTGAGCATGTTGTTTTTAAGTTAAAAAAGGTAAGTTTGCATGTATTAATGTAAAAGAAAAAGGTGAGTTTGCCCTGAGCATGTTGTCAGTACAAAATAATTAAGTTAATATCAATATTGATCTATACTGAAAAGATCAATATAAGGAGCGTGTAAGAATGAATATTCTTTAACTAGTGTAAGAATTTCCATTCTTTAATGCTTGGAGCGTGTAAGAATATACATTATTTCACGCTCTGACCGTGTAATAATTTCCATTCTTACACGGTCTGAGCGTTAAAGAATGAAAATTCTACACATACAGTGTAAAAATAAGCATTCTTTAACGCAAGGAAGCGAACAATATTAAAATTGTTCCTCCTGAACCGTGTAATAATGGGAATTCTTACACGATAGGTTTACTACTATGGAACCGAACAGATATGATATAATATAGATTACTTGATCATGATCATTATCATAATATGGGATACAGGATATAGCATTGAGGATACTCTATCACAGGATAAATGAAACTTGATACAGAATACAGGATCATGATACAGACACATATACAAAGATTATACAGATACAGTATACAGTATACAGATTACAAGATACAGGATATAGGATATAGGATACTAGATACAGATACAGGCACAGACACAGATGAAATGATCAAAAAATTAATTTTTTGAATTATTAAAAATAATTTGATAATCCATTTATTTTAGAACCGCCGCCCGTTGCTGCACTTTTAGCACATTTAGAAGTAAGTCATTATTTAGATATTTAGATATTTAGATATTTAGATATTTAGACATTCAGATATTTAGATATTTAGATATTTAGATGTTTAGATGTTTAGATGTTTAGATGTTTAGATGTTTAGATGTTTAGATGTTTAGATGTTTAGATGTTTAGATATTTATTATTCAAAAATATTTTTTTCTCTTCAAACAAATTAAAAAATTCCTAGCTAAATACCTTAATTTCTATTTTTACGTAAAGCAACACCATCAAATTTCATGGATTTACTACTTCTGCAAGAAAAATCAATTGTTGGCTAGGACAACTTTCTCAAGTGAATTGCGCATTTCTTGCTTCAGAACCGTTGGAGCAACTATCAGAGTTAAAAAATCGACGTTATTTTCCACAATATTAATCAGATTAAGGTTGTGAATTAGTCCCTTTTTAAACGGAAGGTCACTCTAAATTACGATAACAGTCCCTTTAATAAAAACTTCTTCCAGGCTGAAAATAACCGTAAAGAAAGCAGTGCAGCGGAAATATTGAAAGCAGATCAAGCCACCAAGGAAACATATTCACGTATACTAAATAAAATAGCTTTACATTTCTTCAGGGGATACTATCATAGAGAATAGAATATATATTAGAGGGGAATTTAGAGAATCTCTCGGTATGAATTTTTTCAGTCCCTTTCAGCCTGAAAGGGAGTTCAAATGTAAATGTACACTAATTATATGCAGTAGAGTACATTAATACAGTATGTTATTGTTCCCTAGCCTATTCATTTCAATTTCCAATTTTTTAAAGCTGTTAAATAAACTTTATAATGAATTAGGTGAATAAAAACATCATTTGATTTATAGTTATAACGGAAAATCATCGTTTGTAAAGTGAAAGGCATAGAGTCTATGTGAAATGTTCATTGGTCAATGATGAAACCTGCCTATTTCATAATTTGGTTTTCTTTTAACATTAATTTTAGATTATCTATAAAATGATATAGGGTGCAATGACGAATTTTCACCCCCCCCCCCCCCCAGCACCCCACCCTTTGGTCCAGCCGTTTCGCGAGCTGCGAAGAAATTTATTATATATAGATATATATGTATAGAAAGTGTGAAAGATGTCGCTGCCCCCTTTGTATGGATATTAACCGAGTTCAAACTCCAGGTATTTTATCATTTTAGAAATTGAACAATAACATATTTCTGGAAGCTTTCCATCTTTTTATAAATAAGATATGTGCAAGTCATTTTCGCAGAGAAACCGCAAATAAAAATAAGAAAATTTAAAGAAACAAAAACATGGATATCTAATTTATACTTGTTCAGACAAAGCTTTTAAGTGTACCGTTGTATGTCGGGTATTGTCATCTTTGCTTGGGGTTGTAACTTAAAATCCTTTTTCCCCTCACAACACATCAATGATTAGACAACGTGTTTACACTAGGACCAGTAACATTTTCGAATTTGATTTGTCTCATTTTTAAATTCATTGAAATTCACAATTTTTGGAAAACATACATTGATTAGTTTATCAAACTTTTTTCATGCTGGACAGAGAGTATTAAAAGGCCAAAATGCATAAATAAGTTTTTTAAAAATATTGGCTCCCTCCCCACCCACCACCCCCTTCGATATACAATCAATAATCAATTAACAAATATGTAAATAAAAAGGAATATGTTTTTAATGAATCAAATAAGCCAAGAAGAGGACTAAATTAGAGGCTGATAATTTAATATAACGTTGGGACATCAGAATTAAAAGTTTCATGTCGTTTTTACAGTCTCATCCTTTGTGGGTAACCCTGTAATGTATCTTTTTTTTTCAGGAGAACCAAGCTTACATTTATGCCACTATCCCAACTGTGGGAAGGTTTACAAAAAGACTTCTCATCTCAGAGCTCATCTTAGGTAAAAAGGGGACCGTGTACCTCTCAGGGATGTATATTTTTTAGAATTTCGAAGAGAGTGGGGGGGGATGGTTTCGAAAGAAGGAGGCGGGGAAATGGTTTTCCAGAAAAATATCCACCCCTGTAAACTTCCTAATTCATAGATGGAGAATGGACATTACAATTTACAATTTAAAAAACGTTATAATTTCGCTCAAAAATCGTTTTTTAGTCTAAATCTTTTTTCAAGTTCGTTTTTTAAAAAATTCCACGGGCAACGCTGGGCACTTCAGCTAGTCTTCTACTTAATAAAGCTCTTCGCTCATGTATATGTATTTGTCTATATACGGCCGGACCGAATGTGCTGAATTTTTTTAGGAAAACCTTTAGTAGTATAATAGCTTAAGATTCATAAATTTTTTTTTCAAAAATCGAAATTTGTTTTTGCAGGGGCAACGCCGGGCACTTCAGCTAGTATCTTATAAGAATAAAGAAATCTCACCTCCCAAGTCCGAGTTGAGCGTTTGCTAACCTTATAAAAACAGCTCACTTCCTGGGCCAGTAGTATATATATGAGGGCTATGGGATATGGGTGGTATGTATGGAGGAAAACTGTGATTTCCAGTTGGAATTCAGCCCCCCCCCCCCCGGAAAAAATTCTTGTATGCGTCCCGGAGGTTTAGAACCCCAAATGCTGTTTATTCTTATCATTTATCTATCTAATATCTATCCATCCATCTACTATCTATCCATCTATCTACTATCTATCTAATATCTATCCATCCATCTACTATCTATCTCTCTTTCTCTCTCTCTCTATCTATTTATCTAACTATCTATTTATCCAGGTGGCATATAGGAGATCAACCATACCCTTGTTCTTGGCCCGGCTGTAGTAAACGGTTTACAAGGTAAATAAACAATTTTATTTTAGTTTTTTTTATTAAAAAATACTTTCCCAATTAGTTTTTTAGTTTTTTTTTTGTTAAAAAATACTGTCCCAATTAGTTTTTTTATTAAAAAAATATTTTCCCAATTCGTTTTTTTAGTTTTTTTATTGAAAAATACTGTCCCAATTAGTTTTTTTATTAAAAAATATTTTCCCAATTCGTTTTTTTTAGTTTTTTTATTAAAAAATACTGTCCCAATTAGTTTTTTTGGTTTTTTATAAATAAAAATACTTTCCCTTGACTAGCCTATAAAGTAAACTTCCAAATTGAAAAGTTTAGCCAAATGAAACTTTACTTTTTTGTAGCTATGCTCGGTTTTTTGTACTTAATCCAAGGACAATCAAAGACTATGTATGTTTTACAGTGTACAGTGTACACTTGTAGTCGCAGTACAAAGCTATCTTCGTTATTATATTCGCTACACAAAACAAATGTACTCTATCCTAATCGCAACAAAAGGATTTTAAATGCAATTTTTGTTAAAATCTTAATCCCAATGGAGAAAAATACCTATGAAAATTTGCTTGATTTAAAAGTTACTCATTGGAGATAAATAAAAAAAAAATATTTAAAATCTCTAGGTCTGACGAGCTTCATCGCCATTTTCGAATACACACGGGGGAGCGTAGGCACAAGTGTAGTGTGTGTGATAAATCATTTTCAAGATCGGATCATTTAAAGAAACACATGATGAGTCATCATTCACAAGAGTCGGACCGTATCCTCTCACATAGATCAGGTAAGGATCACTTGCCTCGAGTTACCACAAAAAAAGTTGGGCCTGGGCGGTTTAGTCCTTTTGGCGTTTATTAAATACAAAGTGGCCAAGCCACATATATATATATATGTAGAAACGGAGGGGTAACCGAGTTATATAACGTAGTAATCTCTATTTGTTTGTTTGTCCGATCATAAATCAAAAGCCCGTGGACCGATTTGCCTCAAATTATGATTGGGGAATTCGGAAATGTTATTATCTTGGTTTTGAGATTCTATGTTGAGTGGGTTGACTTAAATGACGAAAATTTAGTTTACATGTAAAATCGTTCAAGTGCGGGTAAACGGCATGAATTACTTTTTGTAACCTTGGCAGCGCTAGGCTCCCAAGCTAGTATATATATAAAGTAATAATGTCTGTCTGTCTGTCTGTCTGTCTGTTTTGATATCCGATCCTAACGAAGGAACCCGTAGACCGATTTGCCACAACTTTTAATTGTGAACTGGGTAAAACTACAGAAATGTTTTTAGATTGGTTTTAAAATTCTAAAATGAGCGTGTTGATTTAGTTTCTAGACAAAGTCGGGTTTCCAAGCTTGTTATTCAGAATATCCCAGTTTCAATCTTTTTTTGTGTTTTGCTTTATATCCTCCATAGCTGGCCTGACAATTTACAGTTAGGTGATACTCCTAGGATTTGACTGAAACTTGAAATCACCAGATCTGAATATGTACAGGGTTACCCACAAAGGATGAGACTTCAGAGACGATTGTACAGAATTTATATTGTCTGTTTCCTGATATTGTCTGATTCCCTGCAACTGTAAACTTGTTAGTTTTTTTGCCAAATAATTAAATAGGCCATTAGATTGCTATATCTCAGACAGAATACATAAATTATCCTTAGGACTGTCACATTTCAAGACATTTCGGTCGTCTTTACAGTCTCCTCCTTTGTTGATAACCCTGGATTTAGTTTAGTGAATCCTATTTGTGGTTCAAGTCTGCTGTGACTCAACTGCATTGGTGAAAGTTAAATTTTTAATTTTATTTTTTATTTCATATTTTTCAGATGGAGAACTAGAGATAGATCCAACCCAACTATTAGGTAAAATAAAAAACCTATTTTTTTCCTTAAATTCATAAATAAATATGTTCAGCAAATTTTTTTTAATGTTAATATTTTAAGAGAGAATTAAAAACTTTTAGTAAAATAGCAAAAAAAAACCTTTGTATGTTTTGGGGATAACTCAAATTATTCCTTTGACATTTGCTGAATATTAAATCTGGGATTATCAGACCAAAGTTAATAAAAGTCACCTTCGTTCTATAGATTTTACATTAATTGATATTCCTCTGTCATTTGCTGAATATTAAATCTGTGATTATCAAAGTTAATAAAAGTCATCTTCAGATTTTTCATTAATTGATATTTCTCTGAAAAGGATAAACATTTTGTTAGCTAAGTTTCTAATTGAATTAGATTAATAAAGCCGACTTTCAATTCCGATTTATTCTTGTTGAACAAGTTTTTTTTATATTTTTAGAAGTTGAAGACTATGGTTCAATGGATGGTGAAGATACATGATTTAAACCAGAAACAGTCCGTTAACAACTCTCAGCTAGAAGAGGTGAACGCCAAAAATGTCAGATGATCATTAGAGACACCTATTGTGAAATTTTTAAACTGCATAAAGTCTGTTCCTTAGTTCAGTAATGTAATGTAATGGCAGAAATGACTCTGTATATGAGGTCCGTCCTTATTCATTAATTTAGAATTCTGTTAAAAAGAATTTTTTACCAAAAATAATATTTTAAAGATAGAAAAATGCATGTTTTGTTCTTTATAGTACTTTTCTTTAATTTCGTAACAATTCTATAAAGTTGTGATCAAAATTCCAGTTGCATGGACTGTAAGCGTAATTTTCAAGTGACCCTCCATGCAAAGATGCCAATGCTCGATTTAAATGGTACCCTAAAAGTGATTTCTTGTTATAAGAAGCAATGGAGAAATCATCAGAATTAAACCCTTTTTGAGTGAGTAAAACGACCTTTTCTCCCACACTTGGCATCGGGAAGGTCACTTGAAATTACGCTTACAGTCCCATTAAGCTTCACAAAATTGAAAACCGGCAAGTTTATGTAGTTTGTATATTTTGTAAACAACATACAGTCAGAATACCAGTAGTTTCTGTTTAGAAATAGTTGAGATGTTTATTAATAGAGTCATTATGCTTAATTTCTTAATGGGAGTATTCATATTCATCATTTTTTTCTATTGTAAAATCAATATTTGTCATATCTTCGAAAATCGTGTTTTACTGGGGGGGGGGGAGTACGTATTGTAAAATTATGCTATTCGTAGTTAGTTCCCAAGCTGTTTGTGTTTGTGCAAATAAAAAAAATTAAAAAAAAGACGAGAGAATTCTACCTCATAACTTTTTAGATTTGTTACTATCTTAAATATATCTTAAATATATTGCATTATATACCTATTTTTAGAACAAAAATTGGTTAGTTTTTAAAAACTTTTAAAATGTCAAAACTGTATTCTGTTGAAGTTTGCTTTTTAAGCTTGCGATATTTTTAACCTAACAGACAATTCAAAAGAAAAAAACAGAAAACACGGTTTTTGTATTTATTTTCTCTCGGGGTTAAAAGTTGGCACAAAGTGTAAGGAATTCATGTGTATCCCTTCATATGTTCAGAACCTAATAAAACAAATTTAATTATTTCATATCACTAATTATACTCCCTGCCCCCCCCCCCTCCTCTGACTATTTTACCAAAGCAGAAAACTGTGCTCATATTTGAGAATATCTTAGTAACTCCTCTTTAAATTGCTACTTTGTATTAGTCTTTTCTGAAAAATAAAACTTTAAAAAAATGCTTTAATTGAAAAAAAATAATGGCAGTAACTATGTATTTTTTATCTTAAAACAAAAAGAAAAAAACTGTTAAATATTTTGTTAAATCGTTATTAAAATCTTCGAGCGATAAAGCTTCAACTTAAAAACAATTTTTTTACTAGAATCTTACTTTTTTTTGAAAAAAAACTTAATTTTGAGCTTAACATAGTCCTTTCTAATGTGAGTTTTAACTTAATATTAAATACGTTTTTAATCTTTGAAAAATGATATTTCTCGCTATGTTTTTTTCTCTTATATGCTGTTTTTTTCTTGTAATAATGGTTTTAAATTGTCAGAAAGCTGATAGTTTTATATATGATTTTAAGCTAACCTTTATGCAATAATGGCAATGATTCACAATAGTACCCTCGAAACCTTTTTCAGATTAATAATCTTTCTAATTCTAAGGTTTTTTTCATTAATGTTTTCTTGCAGTTGTAATGCGCAAGTGTTCAAATATTTATACAAACAAGGATATCTAATTCAAACTTGATCAGACCAAGTTTATAATGGTATATCAATACGAATTGGACATTTTCATCTTTGCATAAAGGGTCGCTTGAGATTGCGTTTACAATTCCTTTAGTATGTTATGTAGTTTCATGTTAAACTTATGTGATAAAAATTTGATAGATAGACAAATCACATTGAAATAAATGTTATTTTGTATTACTAGGTTTATAGTAATTTAATGCTAAATGTTTATGTTTCTAGAGTCCAAATTTTATGAATTTGAGCCGCGTCTCAAATCCGCCAAAAACCGGTTTCAATTTAGTGCCGACTTAAATCTTAAAACATTGAATATGCTTTTAATTGGAACCAACCATATTTGAGCCACGTCTCAAATTAAAGCCGCGGCTCAAATTCGGCCTCTGATGTATTCTCAGTCTATGTTTCTAGGTGAATTATCAGGCTACGTAAATAGAAATACTTAAAAGATCAAATTTAAATGTATATACCCCTCGGATCAGGTAGATGCAGGGTTATCGTGTCCGGGCGTCTGACAAGTTAATCGCAACGTTGAATGAGGTTGAAGAACGAAAATATTTGTATTTCAATAATTACTGAGACTAAGTTCTAGCCACGCTCCCTCCCCGGAACCACTGAGCCCAAAACTTAAGACAGCGTATCGTTGTGAAAACCAGTTTTAGAACCCGGGTTTCACGGATTTGGTGGATATATATTTCTGTTAAGAAATTTTATTATATTTAGTTTCTTAATATTCTTCAATTTTTTCGAATCTTTTAAATCAAAATCTTCACTAAAGTGAATACCCCAAAAAGGACACTCGGGGTTTCGTTCAACGACACTCTTTTAAATTTCGGGCTCTGGACAATGTGGAATTATACAATAACCCGAAAGTCTTGATTGATTGATTAACTTGAAATATACAGCTACAAGCAGTTGACTGTTTAGTATATCTCATTCAAGCAGGGTGGTCCGCGTCAATGATCCATCTTTGACCACCTGATCTGTGATTAAAGATAAAAAGAGGTTTTAACGGAACTTTTGTTTTGATTATCTTTAATCTTTACGATGTTAATAATTTTAAATTTTGGATCAATGCTTGATTCCCTCAATTAAAGTTGTTTTCCTGCAGGGTATGACCACTAACAGGGATATTTAAGAGGAATTAAGTTAATCTGTTAATCTTGCAAAAGATGGAGATCAATGCTTGATCCCAAAATTCACGACACAAAAGTTCTGCAATTTTCTTCAAATTTAAAAATGCTCATATTGGATATCAAGATCAAGGGATCCAGATTAACAATACTCCACAGAAAAGTGTTTAACCCGCCACAAACTTTCCCTGGGGTCATGGGAGATACCACAAAACATTTTGGTCAGATCGTTTCCTTCGTGTTCACCTTTCTTGAATACCAAAAAAAACTAAAAAATTGAACGCACGTTTATTGTTAGTAAAAAATATACATATGGAGTGTAAAAATGGTTAACAAACTTGATTTTTTTGTTAAACTTGTAAAATACATATTTCTAAATGCTGAACATCATCCCAATACAGAAAAAAATTTAAAGGGACTGTATAAGCGTACATTTCTGTCACCCTTCATGCAAAGATAGCAATGTCCGATTTACAACGGTACCCTAGAAACATTAATCTAATTAAAACTGTTGAAGATATTGTGTGTTTTCTGACTAGAAATGTGTTTATTATTACTGTTAATTTCTTCATTTTTTCTAGGCAAAAAAGCGCAAGTCTCCTGCAGTGAAACCACAAATGAAAATAAAGTATTTGATTTATGCTCGATAGACAAAGTTTTAAGGGTACCGTTGTGAATTGTCATCTTTGCATTGAAGGTCACTTGAAATTATGCTTCTAGTTTCTTATTACGCACCATTTTAAAAATATTGTCAAAAACAAGTTCTTATTAAGCAATATTTGGAAAATATTGTCAAAAACAAGTTCTTATTACGCAATATTTTAAAAATATTGTCAAAAACATAGTTCTTGTTACGCAATATTTTGGAAAATATTGTCAAACACAAGTTCTTATTACGCAATATTTGGAAAATATTGTCTAAAACAAGTTGTTATTACGCAATATTTTAAAAATATTGTCAAAAACATAGTTCTTATTACACAATATTTGGAAAATATTGTCAAAAACAAGTTCCTATTACGCAATATTTGGAAAATATTGTCAAAAACAAGTTCTTATTACGCAATATTTTGGAAAATATTGTCAAAAACAAGTTCTTATTACGCAATATTTTGGAAAATATTGTCAAAAAAGTTCTTATCACGCAATATTTGGAAAATATTGTCAAAAATAAGTTCTTATTACGCAATATTTTGGAAAATATTGTCAAAAACAAAGTTCTTATCACGCAATATTTGGAAAATATTGTCAAAAATAAGTTCTTATTACGCAATATTTTGGAAAATATTGTCAAAAACATAGTTTTTATCACGCAATATTTGGAAAATATTGTCAAAAATAAGTTCTTATTACGCAATATTTTGGAAAATATTGTCAAAAACATAGTTTTTATCACGCAATATTTGGAAAATATTGTCAAAAATAAGTTCTTATTACGCAATATTTTGGAAAATATTGTCAAAAACATAGTTTTTATCACGCAATATTTGGAAAATATTGTCAAAATCAAGTTCTTATTACGCACCATTTTAAAAATATTGTCAAAAACAAGTTCTTATTACACAATATTTGGAAAATATTGTCAAACACAAGCTCTTATTACGCAATATTTTAAAAATATTGTCAAAAATATAGTTCTTATTACGCAATATTTGGGAAATATTGTCTAAAACAAGTTCTTATTACGCAATATTTGGAAAATATTGTAAAAAACAAGTTCTTATTACGCAATATTTTGGAAAATATTGTCAATAACAAGTTCTCATTACACAATATTTGGAAATTATTGTCAAAAAAAGTTCTTATCACGCAATATTTTGGAAAATATTTTAAAAAACAAGTTCTTATCAATCCATATTTTGGAAAATATTTTAAAAAACAAGTTCTTATCAATCAATATTTTGGAAAATATTGTCAAAAACAAGTTCTTATTAAGCAATATTTTGGAAAATATTGTCAAAAACATAGTTCTTATTACGCAATATTTTGGAAAATATTGTTATGGGATATATACAATAAATATGTGAATGAGTAAAATAGAAGGTTAAAAACACGTGTTTAATTACTTCGTACCGTGAAAGTGGGTAGATAGCTAATTGGAAAAATGAACACATGATATTATTCTTAAAAATTAAAAACTTTAAAACAATTATAATACTGTTTAGAAAAATTCTGAGCATACATGGGTACCCAAAAAGGATTAGACATTTAAAAATACAGCTGACCGGATTCTTTGTTCTTATATTTATTGTACCCCTGCCACATTGTTAAATAGATACCATGTATTAACTATATTAAAGCAGAAAACAAATTCTAACTTTCAGATCTATGTTATCAAAAAGTTGTAGGTCGTCATTAGATTTTCATCTTTTGTAGGTAACCCTGCATGCCATGATTTAAAAATAGAAACGTCTTTTTCTCTTTCTTGACTTTCTTGTGATCTGCGTGAATGACAAATGGATGTAATTTTGTCCAACCAGATCAAGGAAACTGTTTTACTCTGTCGACATAATTTTAATTGACCCACTATTTAAAGACATGTGCCCATTTCTAAAAGAGGATGAAGATAGCCTTGTGGCTTCTCTATAAAATTGACACGCAGATTTTTTGCAACAAATGTCATATGTTTGTTGTCTATTGTAAACCAATAGAAATAGTATGACGGGAACATCTTTCTTGCTATCTATCTCATTATCCAATCAGAAGTATGAATCCTTCAATCGGCGCTATCAGTAAATGGAAATATTTACTTTTACTGAAACTATAATCGAGTGTTTAGTTCCTGTGATAAAGATGTAACTGGTACCGTTGTGAATTGGGCAATGGAGGATCATTTAAAATTAGGTCTACACTCCCTTTATTGTGTTAACAAACGTGAGTAGATACAGAGTCTTTCCTGTAAATGGAAGATTTCAGAATCAAACAGAAATTTTTAGTTTAAATTCTTGAAAACAAGCAATGAAAACAAAATTCAAATTAAACGATGATTAAGGGAAATAGATAGTTTAGAGGCCATTATATCTAATTTATAATTCTACCCTTAATTAAAAACGCATTTGAATACATAAACATATAAAATAGACAACCCTTCGGTCAAATAATGAAGTGTTATTAAAATTTAGTTTATAAAATTGTCTTTTGGAAATTTTGACCTAAAATAAGATATTTTATTTGATATGAAATCTTTCCTTGTGAATGGTTGGCATAGAAAAGATTCTTGCTTTGCCTGGGTCTCACTGCAATAAACATATATAAACATGAAGATAATAGTTATAATAATAATAATAATAATAATAATAATAATAATAATAATGATAATAAAAGAGGGGTATGCCTAAATTACACTATTTTACTAAATTACACTAAATTACACTAAATTACATTAAATTACGCTAAATTACACTAAATTAGACTAAATTACACTAAATTACACTATATTACTAAATTACATTAAATTACGCTAAATTACACTAAATTAGACTAAATTACACTAAATTACACCATATTACTAAATTACACTAAATTACACTAAATTACAAGGGTACCTTGTAATCTTTATCTGATCAAAAATGAGAAAGATAAAGTCGTTTTTTGGCTTGAAAAGTACGCGTATAACTGTATAATTCTGATCATTTCTCCAATTTTTGTGAAGAAAGAAATGCGTCTGCAGTGTCACTTTTGCTGGGAAAACACAAATGAAAATAAACAGTTTTAAAACAAAAACAAGGATATCTAATAATCTAACGCCTACTTGATCAGACAAATCTGGGTACCGTTGTAAATCTGACATGCCACTCTATCAATGGAAGGTCAAATTACGTTTATAATCCCAAAAATATCCAAATCACCTGTAGAGCCTTGAAGTTAATCCCAGGATTCCCATGGAGTCCCAATCCATCTTGTCTGTTAGCAGAGACGATCTAAACAATATTAGGGATTATTAGGGATTGAGTCTTTGCAAAAACTCATATTTTCTTATCCCTATATCTTTACAACCTGTTTATGTAAACCATTGATATTTCAGACTTATATTATTTGATCTAACAGAATTTATATGTTTGAAATATGCGACATTGGGTTGCAAAGATTTAGGGATTAGAAAATCAGAGTTTGTGGTAATATTTTGCGCCATTGTTGTTATTTTAGCAAAAATTAACAAGGGTTTGTTTCTGTTTCTTGACTTTATTCATTCAGTACAGACAAGAAATCAAATTAACAAAATTTATCAGTCTTTAAAACAGAAAAACCACGATATCTTCCTCATTGTTACTAATGTACAGGTTTAAATAGTACCGTTGTAAATCATGTCTAGACTAGAAAAAAGTGAACAGTCCCTTGAACATTATAAAAAATACCAACCTAGTAGTATGACTTGATAGAGAACTGTTAGAGTTTAATTCAATTAAATCCGTCTCATCCCCTTCCTCACAGTCCTCCTAAATAAAAAATCAATATTTTAATTAAAATTTTTAAACAGTTTTTTTTTAATTTTAAATGTTTTCCAATATTTTCTTTTAGTTCTATTTGCCTATATTATTGTTGTGACTTTAAATTTTATTATTTTGTGCTTTTTTTGCTTTATTTTGTAAAGATTTTAAAAAAAATAGTTTTTCATGTTAAATATTTTTGTATAATTTTTTCTAGTGTAATAAATCTTTTATATGTTTCAATGTTTTTACAATTTTTTTATGCTTTAAGTTTTTGTTTTAATTCTTCAATAATTTTTGGTTTTTTTAATATTCTCAATGTGTTTTTCGAAAAAAAAAAATTTATAAATCTTTATCCTCTCTTTTTAAAATTGTAAATTTTCAAACCCCCTTTTTTAAGATTTTAAGATTTTAAGATCATTTAAACAGCTTTTGTTCATTTTTTTACATTTGTATTTATATTTTTCGTGTTTTGTTTGATTTAATACATGATTTTTTCCCCTAAAAGATTAAAAATTGATTTCAATATATTGATAATATTAATCTAGTTAAATATTAACAGCATTTTGGTGTCGTCTTCAATTATTTTTTGTAAATACTATAAAAACCTCAAGAAAATCTAGAAACTTTCGGCATTTTCCTCTTCCCTGGAGTCCACCCGTTTTCCTAAAAATTTGAAAAAAAAACTTTAAACAGCAATTAAAGGTTGTATACAATACATATATCTAAACATATATAAAGTATATATAATGTCTACTTAATTGTCTGTCTGTTTGTTTTTCCGATCATCACTCATGAACCCCTTAAAAGATTTGCTTTACATTTTGATTAAGGAACTCAGAAGACCCACGGGAATGTTTTTAATTTGGTTTTAAGGTTCTAAATCGAATAGGTCCACTTTTAACGGGAAAGATAGTTAAATTTACAATTCAAAAAGCTGGTAAACGGTGGGACTTACTATGACTCCCCTGGGCAACGCTGGGTTCCCAAGCTAGTATAAAATAAATCAAGATTGAATTTCGATTTCCAACTACTCATATTTCTTTACAAAATGAATTTGATATATAGCAGGAACCATAAAACTGTAGAATAGGAAGACGACTTTAAAATCAATTTATAATTTCAAATATTTCATTGAACATGAAGCACAGAAATTGTGCAGTAAAAAGTGTACACAAGCACATTTAATTTTCTCAGTTAATTCTTAAGCTACAGCTAAAACTTTTTGCTTCATAATAACATTAAATACACCATAGATATCTAGCTTTAAAGTCGGCTTATACAGGTTTACTGAGATCAAGCTGTACACCCACCTCCCTCCCCTTTCTAAGAGCCCATAATCGGAGAAAATTATTCAAAATTTGATAATTGATCATACCCCTTTTTATTTTTCGAGAACAGTCCCTTACCTTGTCTTGGACGGTGCTGGGGAGTTAATGTACTGCGTGGATTGATACTGTATGTTGCTGCTGTAACCTGAAATATCACATTTCGGTAAAAAATAAAAAATAAATTCAGCAGAGCTTAAAACTTTAGAATGGTGGATATCGAGATGAATGCTTGATCTCCTCTTTTTTTTAATCTCAAAATTAAAAATAAGGCTTGTTTTCCTCTTGTTATTAATCTTTAGATTAATTAACCGATCGGGATTAAGGATATCCCATGTCTAATGTTTTCATCTTTGATCTGAAAACATTAGAATTGTGGTTATCGAAATTAATCCTTAAACTCATCTTTTTAATAATCTCAAGATTAGCTTAAACTGGAAAGTGTATAAAATTCGACCAATTAGAGTGTTGATTGCAGAATTCGAACAGCCAATCAGAAGCCGAGAAGTTTTAAAATTTTGGCCGCGCAATCAATGAGAGAACTCTCATTGGTTTCAATACAGAAGCTAAATCTAAAGGAGAGAATTAAGCTTCAGCATAAACCCCGTGGTTGAGAACAATTTTTAATTTTCCGAAAAAGTAGTTATATACAATTTTATCGTCTTTTTAAATGAAAATTAGAGAATTAGAGCGGGTGGTTATTTTACATAAGTATCCCAAGGGATGTTAAGTAACTTAACCTTCCTCTGTTGGGAGAATAATAGGTCAGCAATGTTGGTCAAAAGGCGGTAAAATATGTAATCAAAAAGCAAAGTATCATTGTTATTATTATTGATATATTATTATTAATGTATAGTTCAGCTACATAGCTCAAATTCATTAAAATTGCGTTGACAGTCCCTTTAAAGTGAGATAACATTGCGTTTAAAGTGAGTTAACATTGCGTTGACAGTCCCTTTAAAATGAGTTAACAAAAGCTCATTATTAATATGACAATACTAACCTGAAGTATCTGTTGTAAAGGATAACCGGCTTGGAGGTCGCTCAGGGGAGCTAGAGACTGACCTCCTGTGTATTTATGTATTTTTAAATGAAACTTACTAACTTAATTTTAATGATATAAGTTTATTTTTTCTTAACTTGTTTGTATGCATGCTACTAGTTAGAAGAATAGTATTTGGTACATGTTTTCTCTATGTTATTTAAGAATTGTACACCGAAAAAATCTCTCATTGGTAGCAAATGAATCCTTAAGTTTTTTCTTCAATACTGCATTCTCAGTTCAAATATGTTACATAGCCGGTCTTTCCCTTTTAAAAAATGTCACATAGAGAAAATGGCATTAGAACAGAGACTTACTTACTTACTTACAACTTACTTACTTAGAACAAACTTACTTACTTAGAACATAGACTTACTTACTTACTTACAACTTACTTACTTAGAACAGAGACTTACTTACTTACTTACAACTTACTTACTTAGAACAGAGACTTACTTTTACATTAATTGGTAATTTTGTAAAGAAGATTTTATCAGTAATAATAAAATATTTATCGGAAACTATTTTTTTTTAAATTCTTTAAAAAATTTAAAAATAATAAAAATATTCCTGGAAAATGAGTTTGTATACATTGAAGCACTGGAACCGCTGAAAATTTAGAAAAAATATTAAGTCTTAAATACAGTCTGATTGGCGTTTATATCAATACAATTGTGACAACTTTCTACATCAGCTGATTGATTTCTAAGTTGCTTTTATTCAATAGAAATCAATAAATATAACAAATTGAAGCTGTCAATTAAATGAGAAAATAATCTTTGTTTTGAAATGTCATGATTTAAAATAGTTTACTAAATTTTTTCTCACTTATTATCTTTCATATCCAATCAAGGGACAATTAAAAAGCATAATATACCTATAACACCAACCAAGTAATTATTGTAAAGAAAAGGAATTATTTTTTGGTTTAAAAGATTTGGATTCGCGGATATATCATAATCTAATTGGTGTAGAAATAACATTGCTTAGAGAAAGAGAGAATTAAGGGACTTAAAATTTTCTATTGACATAATATCAAGTGGGCCTTTAATAAAAGTAATTATTTGGTGTCTTTAAATACTTTATCTGAGTTGTTATAAGGGGGATATCGTGGAGATATCGTAATGGAAATATCTATTTATGCAACTGTATTGTGTTATCATGCGGTACAATATGTTTTTTTGGCCGGAATTTTAACTTTTTTTCGTTTGTTTAAGGTTTAAATTCAAAATTTTCAATCACAAACGTATAGTGAGTGATTAAAATTCTTGAAATTAAACCGAAAACAAACAAAAAAGTAAAAATCACAACAAAAAATATAATTTTCCAAATGATAACAAAAAACAGTTGGATATATAAATTTATTTAATTCAAGTTTCATAAAAATTTGCGATTTTTTTAAATCCGTGAAATAAAAAGGGAAACCTGCTTTACCGGTACAAAATGTTACTTATCTGCCTCGGAACAAATAAGAAACTTTTTATATCCAAGATCATGAAATTATGATTAAAATGCGGGATAGAAATTCTCTCAAAAATCAAAATTGAAAATCAAATTCTTTAAGGTCGCAATTTTGATCGAATATGTAATTCTATAAATAGATTCTCAGTTCACAAAGTAAATTTTGCGTAAAAATCAAATATAGAGGAGCTGTGAGATCACAAAGTCACACCAATGCTGTAGCAACAATTTAACTTTCTCCTGTGTCTAATTTGCAGTGAGTTTCATTGTGTTGATACTCCCTTTAAAGTGAGTTAACATTGCGTTGATAGTCCCTTTAAAGTGAGTTAACATTGCGTTGACAGTCTCTTTAAAGTGAGTTAACATTGCGTTGACAGTCCCTTTAAAATGAGTTAACATTGCGTTGACAGTCCCTTTAAAATGATCACTAGGTAAAAATAAAATCTAATCATTGATCATTAATTTAAAAAGACAAAGTTTCGGTATCGTTAGCTGGATGTAGCTACAGGGTTACCCACTAAGGCTAAAACTATAAAGACGACCTAATAATCCTTAATCCTTACTAAGACTTTAGTTTGTTCTTTGGATTTTGCTATAGACTTTTATAGGTGTACTTTATGATTTAGCAAAGAATTTAGAAAGTATAAAGTTTAAGTGTCTAATACCTTAGTTTCTAGCAATGATTTTTAAAGCAATTTATCTGACAGTACCCGAGGGCTGGAGGATGGTCTAGTGGCTGGATCTATGTACCTGAGTACAGAGGATGGTCTAGGGCTGGATCTATGTACCTGAGAGCTGGAGGATGGTCTAGGGCTGGATCTATGTACCTGAGGGCTGAGGATGGTCTAGGACTGGATCTATTTACCTGAGGACAGAGGATGGTTTAGGGCTGGATCTATGTACCTGAGGACAGAGGATGGTCTAAGGGCTGGATCTATGTACCTGAGGACAGAGGATGGTCTAGGGCTGGATCTATGTACCTGAGGGCTGGAGGATGGTCTAGGACTGGATCTATGTACCTGAGGGCTGAGGATGGTCTAGGGCTGGATCTATGTACAGGGTGTCCCAAAAAACATGGGAATTCAGTGACGAATTCGATATCGTCTTTGTTATGAATTAGCATTGTAATAAAAACTAAATATCTGCAACATTCCATTATCAGAAAGTGAAGAATACGACATTTGATGAATTCTTTCGATGTATTCTTTATTAAGGGTTTCACTGTACCTGAGGACAGAGGATGGTCTAGGGCTGGATCTGTGTACCTGAGGGCTGAGGATGGTCTAGGGGCTGGATCTATGTACCTGAGGACAGAGGATGGTCTAGGGCTGGATCTATGTACCTGAGGACTGAGGATGGTCTAGGGCTGGATCTATGTACCTGAGGGCCGAGGATGGTATAGGGCTGAGGATGGTCTAGGGCTGGATCTATGTACCTGAGGGCTGAGGATGGTCTAGGGGCTGGAGATACAGAGGTTCTTGATGTCCTCGGGGGAGCAGAGGATCGTCTACTTTCCCGGGAAAAATATTTGAATTTTTCGCGGCAAAAAATGTGAAGCAAAGTATAATTAAAAAGAAAGATAAAAAGATTTTTAAACATGCTAAATACGTCTCCAACATTTTATATATTTATCTAAACTTTTTATCAAAAACTTTTTTGGTCCTCTCAGTCGTCACTCATCTGTCTTGTCATGTTTAGCGGAATTTAAAAATCCAAAAATTAATTCATATCTTTTTAAGATTGCAACTTATTCTAACTAAACCTTTGTGTCGTTCAGGAAAAAAATATTGATTAAAAATGTAATTAACGGTAATTAACGGTCAACTAAAATAGATTTTATTGCCTGGTATTTTGTAGTGTTCCAAGGGAATGACTCTGAAAAAAAATTTATGTTAGAAATTAATTTAAATTTTTAAACGAAAATGATAAAGATCATTTTGAAAACTTGCCTTTTCAATGGATTCCAGCTTCTCTGCATGCACATCACAATCACTTCAAATTTTTCAAAATAAAATTAAGTAGGTTAAAGTTTTTAATAGATTTTAATTATATGTCATTTTTAGCTAACAAAAGTTATATTGGGACCGAAATTAGTATAGTTCAGCTACATAGTTCAACTGTATAGTTCAGCTACATAGTTCAACTGTATAGTTCAGCTACATAGCTCAACTGTATAGTTCAGCTACATAGTTCAACTGTATAGTTCAGCTACATAGCTCAAATTCATTAAATTCTGTCCCCGATAAAATATTAAAAAGCCCAAATTAAAGAGCTTCGAAAAATTCGAAAAAATAGATCTTAAAAAAAATAATTGCAAAGAAAAGGCTTTTTGTAAACAAAAATAGGGTATAATTATTCTGTTAAATGAAATGCAGCAAATTAATTTTTAAATCTAATCAAATTTAAAAGGTTCTTTTAAATAGTAGATTTAAAAAATAAAATTTGACATTTTTTAGACAACAAAGCGGAGAGCGGTACAATTTTTGATCATGATGCATAAATACTTTATCAAGGGGGAACAACCGGTAAAACTGAAGAAAAAATGTAAGCACGACTATTATATACTTTGCTTGTCTGTCTGTTTGTTTGTTGGTATCCAATAAACGCCAAAAAGGCTGAACCGATTGGGACCAAATTTTATGTGGGGCCTTTCGTGACCCCAGGGTGCGGTTTATGGATAATCAAATTTTCAAAAATTTGCCTCTAACAAAATTCAATTTTGGAAAATTTTGAAATTCCACGAATTTTATTTAATAAAATCCGCGAAATTTTGTTTTGTTTTTGTTTTACAATGTACACAAAGAGAACATGTTCACAATTGAAATAGAAGATGGGCGCGAAGGGCCCTAAAAGCCTTTTTTTAATTTAAATAATAATATATCTTTAAAACTATAATGAAATTGCAAAAATATATTTGACCTGCTGATTGCATAGCTGGCATATACTTTAGGTTTCCTCTCTCTTCTCTAAAATTTTATTTTTATAAAAAGGCAAAATCAGATTATTTTTTTATTTCAGAAATTAAAATTTATTGAGCACAAAATTTTTGAAATGGCTGAATTTTTTAAAGTTTAGATTTGAATCCCAATAAAAAAGCATCCCTAATCCTTCTTAAATACTAACTTATTCATTTTTAATCTTCAAAATATTCTAAGAATATGGCTGAGCTATCATTGTTAAAGGATCCACTTGTTTATTGATTTAAAACTTTAAGTGCAAATTACCAATTTTAAGATAAAAAACCCAAGATAGTGCAATCATGCCTTATTTTAAGGATTAGGAGAGAGAAAATTTGATTATCCTTTGCTAAAAAATGTCTAAAATCTCAAAGGCATTCTGCCCTATTCCCGGTAGAACCAGTCACTCACAACCACCAGTTACGGAACGTTGAACTATTTACTGTCAACTATGCTAGAACGGAGAAACACAGAAAATCTGCTATTCCCTATATGCCAGAGAAAATTAACTCCCTATGATATTAGCTTATCTCAATCTGTGATAAAACCCATGATATATTCAATTATATTCTTATGAGAATGTTAATCATATTATAATATGTATTATGATCTTGATTTATCTCTGATAAATCTTACTTACTTACTTACTTACTTAATTTAAATGAAGGTTCAAAAGATGCCAATGTGAATTACAGATGGCTCTCTTTATAGTTTATTGTCACTGGTGTTCGTCTGTTTAAAGGGACAGTAGACGTAATATTCAAGTGACTCTCCATGTATGGAGTGGCATCAGAGGCGTATTCAGGGGGGGGGCTATGAGGGCTAAGCCCCCCCTGGACCAGTGAAATCTATTGATTTCAGGGGGTTTTCAGGCCCCAACGGGTGCTGAGCCCCCCCCCGAAATAAAAAAATTTAAGCCCCCCCCTGGACAAATTCCTGAATACGCCCCTGAGTGGCATAATAGATTCACAAGGGTATATGTGAAACTAATCAAGATCATAGGAATAAAAAATGTATTCATTTCGAATTTTTAAAAAATACTTTGAACATTTAGAATTCTTTCAAGCATTTGTGTGTGGATACAGATACAATGGAAACAAACAAATGTCATATAAATGGAAGGTCATTAAGTCTACTGCGTGAGGCCGAATTTAAAGAATTTGAGCCGCAGCTTAAATTTGAGACGCGGCTCAAATATGGTTGTTTCCACTTCAAATTGCAATTAAATGTTTCAGGATTTAAGCCGGCGCTCAATTGAAACCGGTTTTTGGCGGCTATTAGATGCGGCTCAAATTCATTAAATTCGGACTCTGTCCCTTTCGCTTTTCGAATTCTTACCTTGTATGTTTCAGGTTTGCTCCAGATGGGTGGTGTACCATAGGTACCTTCCTAGATAATAAGAATATTAGAACAAATGCTACGGCTCTATGAAGAATATGGCAATTTACTCTATCTTGTATATAAAGTAGACCTACGTAATTGCCACAATTTTAAGAAATTTTGTAAATTAATTGATTTGAATGTTTTTATTTATGAAATTGTTAACTTGTAAACTTTAAATAATTACTTTTTTGAAAAAATTTTGAGAATTTTTGTTCATAAGTTATGATTGGATTGGAAATTCCCCACCTCTGTCAGGGGGTAAAGTCCAGGTGGCCGGGAGGGGAGGGGGGCAGACCGTCGTCTTTGTTTCTCTTTAAACTCGGGATCTTCATACTCTCCCATCACCTGGAAAATACAGAAATAAAAAGCGCAACTTGATGTCGTCTTCCGTCGTTCTTTTTGTCTTATAAAGACCGCTTTTTGTATTACTGTACACTGTACAGTCAATTTAAATTTTCCCATTATTCCTCTTGTAGTTTGCTTCTTAATCACCGATATTTTTCTAGTTAATCACTGATAGTTTTCTATTTAATCACCGATAGTTCGATAGTTTATCACCGATAGTTTGCTAGTTTATCACCGATAATTTGCTAGTTAATCACCAACACCGATAGTTTGTTTGTTAATCACCAATAGTTTTCTAGTTAATCGCCAATTATTTTGCTAGTTAATCACCGATAGTTTGCTAGTTAATCACTAATAGTTTGTTAGTTAATCACCAATAGTTCGCTAGTTAATCACCGATAGTTTGATAGTTAATCACCGATAGTTTTCTAGTTAATCGCCAATAGTTTGCTAGTTAATCACCGATAGTTTACTAGCTAATCACCGATAGTTTGTTAGTTAATCAACAATAGGTTGATAGTTAATCACCGATAGTTTGCTAGTTAATCACCGATAGTTTGATAGTTAATCACCGATAGTTTGCTAGTTAATCACCTATAGTATCCTAGTTTATCACCGATAGTTTGCTAGTTAATCACCAATATGATGAATTGAGGATTTTTCGTGCTCTGCTGATTTGTTTGTCCTTGAACCAACCAACACGGAATCAGGCGTCGCACTCATAACTTATGCAAGGTTAAATAATACAAACAAATAAATAAATAAAATAGAAACAATTAAATCATTATCTGGTCTTTTTCCTCCATATATATATATCCAGGGTTAACCACAAAGGATGAGACTGTGAAGACGACTGGAAACTGAAGATATGACATGTCCCAAGGTTAAATTAAGTATTACATGAGACCAAAGTTTACAAGTTTTGAACCGAAACAGAAATAATATCTAAATACGAACCTCACGCCAAACTAAAGTATAAATGGCATGTATGATTGAAATCTTAAATGTTTTCAATCAGAACTCCTCATATTGAGAAGGAAAACATGTTTTGAATTTTAATATGGAACCAGATAAACTTGGTAAAAACTAGCAGAGCTACAAGGTCTGAAAGCCGTACCAGTAACGTACCAGTAACGTACCAGTAACGTGGCAGTAACGTACCAGTAACGTACCAGTAACGTACCAGTAACGTACCAGTAACGTACCAGTAACGTGTCAGTAACGTACCAGTAACGTACTAGTAACGTACTAGTAACGTACCAGTAACATGGCAGTGACCTACCTCTGAAGGAATTAGTATTTTGGGTGCCGAGGTTGACCTCTGTCTGGGCCCCCCACAACATTCACGCATTTTTATCTGAAGCATTTTCAAATAAAAGGGACTGTAAGCCTAATTTCAAATGACCCTAAATGAAAAGATAGCAATTCCCGATTTACAACGGTACCCTTAAAAGTTTTGTCTGATCAAGTATGAATTAGATATCCATGTTTTTATTTCTTTAAACTAATTATTTTCAATTGTAGTTTCTCTTCAAAAAATACAGGAAACACATAGGAATCATCTTAAACACTTTTAAACCTAGAAAAACGACGATATCTTTCACATAATTGATCAGGGTATATCGTTGCATGGAGGGTCACTTGAAATTACGCTTACAGTCCCTTTAACTAGAATTTCGAAATCTTTAAACATGTTTGTCTACTTATTTGTAAGAGCTATTCCTAACAAACGCCCCTGCAGCCATTCCAAGATTTGTTGAAAAAAATAATCTTTAAATACAAATTTTTTTCTCCCCGATCTTTGATCGTAAAAAAGAAAAAAAAATATTTTGCCAATGTTAAGGATACTATTATTAGAAAAGAATCCTAACCCTTTGCAGTTTTTAGATATATAATAATATTAATAACTATTAATTTAAAATTTATTTTTTTTATTCTAAAATTTGAAAACGAACCCGAGTACTTTCACAAAAGCCGTTTCCCGGATATTTTCTAATCTCCATTTTTAATATTTGTTTAACACTATTTGCTTGTGTTCTGGGTTGAGTAAAGGGGCCCACACAGAAAATCTGCTATTCCCTATATGCCAGAGAAAATTAACTCCCTATGATATTAGCTTATCTCAATCTGTGATAAAACCCATGATATATTCAATTATATTCTTATGAGAATGTTAATCATATTATAATATGTATTATGATCTTGATTTATCTCTGATAAATCTTACTTACTTACTTACTTACTTAATTTAAATGAAGGTTCAAAAGATGCCAATGTGAATTACAGATGGCTCTCTTTATAGTTTATTGTCACTGGTGTTCGTCTGTTTAAAGGGACAGTAGACGTAATATTCAAGTGACTCTCCATGTATGGAGTGGCATCAGAGGCGTATTCAGGGGGGGGGACTCAGCTGTCGTTTATGTAAAGTGGACCCAATTGTGAGTTTTATTACTCAGCTTCAGGGGCGTAATCAGGAATTTCTCCAGGGGGAGGGGGGGTGTTCAGCTTCAATTTGAGCTAAATACACGCCTGGGAACCAATATACTCACTTGGGAGGGGGGCAAAGCCCCCTTTCTGTATACGCCCCTGCTAAGGTGCCGAAATAAAAGTAAAAGTGGAAGAATCAAACATCAAACAAAACACAAACCATTAGCTCACGCAAACACTCAAACCCAGCAGAATTTTAGGATAAAAAACTGCAAATTGATATTACAAAATTTTGCCAAATATCAATTTATCAAAATTTTAACATTTTTTACAGGCGTTCTAAGCACTTCCATATTTATAACAAATTTAAGTTTTAACAATTTATAAATAGGTCCTACCAAATAGCAATTTGTGCAGAATTATTATCATTTTGAAAGTGCCTAATATTCTGTTCGTAATATTTAAAAAAAAAAATTCGGTTTTTTCGGTGCAATTGATACTTTACGATTTAAATCTTTTAACAGGGGAGTGCTCGGAACTTATTTGTAGAGTATTGTTAATGTTGAACGCTTGATATCGATATTCAAAGTGAGCCCTTCTTTAGTTAGGGGAAAAATACTTGATCCCTTGATTAGAGTTACCCTAAAACAAACACGGGTTATCAAAGAGGAATTAAAATAATTCTTAGGTTTGCATAAGATTGAGATTAAAGCTTTAATCCCAAGATGTGCACAACACAAGTTATAACTTCAGATTTTTATACCTTGCAGATGATTCCTGTTTGCTCGTGAAATAAAGACTTAAACAGAATTTTAATCCAATAAAAGTTGCGAGGTTGATCCCTGAAGTTTATAGCTCTTGGTAGGCTCAGCACCCAATAAAATACTCGTGTAATATAAAATCCAATATTTTCTTATAAGGATAAAAGATGAAGATGAAATTTGGTCGATTCTTTTCAGTGCCCTCGGCAATTTAGTCTGGGTTGTACAATTTTGGACCCAAACTTACTTTCATTCATTTTTATACATAGATATATATTAGGCTTGTATGCATCTGTTTGTTTGTATCCAATCAACGTCAAAAGGGCCCAAATGTTTAGCGGTAACCAGAACCCATGGGAAGGTTGAAAAAGATGTTGATTTTCGTGATTTTTGAAAATCCATCAATTTAAACGGGAAAATCCGCAAACATTTTAGAATGATGAAAAAATGGCGTCTTAAAAATCAAATGTTTAGAGGTAAAAAATGGCGAAGTGCCCTAGAATATCCTAGATTTTATTATTTTTTTTTATCTTTTCCTGGTTATAAATTAAAGTGTTATTATAACTTGTTTTCTTGACTAGCATAATTCTATTTTATATGTTAATAAAAATAATTTTTCACAGATTAAAAAAAAGATTTAACATTAAAACTTTCAATATATTTAATTGATTTGCATATAAAAACTTTGAATGCATCTCAACTTTTACTGCAAATTAATTCTATTTAATATTGCATTCAAAAATAAACATTTGCATCCCTCTATTTGACGTAAACCTTATAGGAACTATAAACTTTTTTTTAAGTTATCTTCCATTTATAAAGAAGAAAATCCCATTCACATCGGTACCCTTGAAAACTTTGTTCGATTAAGAATGAAAAAAGATTATTTTCAAATGTTTTTATAGTATTAATGTTTGTGCAGTTTTCTGCTTGCAGAAACATTGGAGCTAATTAATTGCCAGAATTAAACCCTTTTCAAGTTAGAAAACGAGGATAACGTCTAAGATATCAATCAGAAACAGAGTTAACCGGTACTTTACTTTTCATTAAATGAAGGTTTACTTGAAATTAAAACGACTTTGCCCTTAAACCACTGCCTAATCCTATCAATTTATCATTTGTGAATGATTCCTTTAAAGTCGCTCTTGATTTCATTTATTTAGTAAGTGTATTTTAAAAATTCAAACACTTTTAGAGTTCCCAGATTTTTTAACCGTTTGTTAAATTTTGGACTTAAAAAGTTGTGAGACATCCCTATCATTCTGAACATAAATGTTCGAACAAATGTTTGACAATTTTTTTTTCAAGCTTTATGAATTGGTAAGATTTTCTTACTCGTAAATGATAGTCATGACATCTCTCTTCAGGTATCGTAGATTTTCTTGTTAGTATTAGTCAACTTCTTTAATTGAGAAAGCCCAACTAAATGTGCAACCAATTGGTTCAACCGTTTCGTCGTTTACTTAAAAATAATATACTTTCAGTACAATACAATATACATACAGTGATTACCAGAAAACTCTTAATTTAGAGCCGACAATAATTATGTGTATTTCATGTTGCACATAGAAAACAGTTTTACTGGACTCTCATTAAATCACTTATTAAGTTAATTTAGCCTGAGCTGAAAACTTTAGAATGGGATATCCTGAATCCCGATGGGTTAGTTAATAAGATTAATAAGGAGAACAAGCATTATTTAATTTCGAGATTAAGAAAAAGAGTGGATCAAGCATTAATCCCGATATCAATCATTCAAAAGTTCCCAGCTCTGTTTAAACTGCACAATTGCTGTGTCCTATGCTCATTGAACTATTTAAAGTCATAAATTAAGAAATTTTTCTTTCACGGATATTAAGGTATCTATAAACATATGAATATATGAAAAATGTTAAGTTCATGAAATTGTTTTTTAAAAGTTACCCATTAAAAACTGAACTAATGGAAAAAAAATCTGAGGGAGATGTATTTTTTACAAATCCCAGCCATGACAAATTGATGAAAAAAGTTTGATTTTTTCTTAACTGCCTAACTGCCTCACTGCTTTACTGCCTAACTGCCTAGTGTTAACACTGTCCGGTGTGAACTGAGCAGTTTTAGGCCTAGTCTTGAATCCTCAAGCAGTTTCAGGGATAGTTGCATTCATACATCAAAACATTGTTACTAAGGAATCCTTAAAATTTTATTCGAAATAAAAAAAATTTTATTCGAAATAACGAACATTTTATTTGAAATAACGAACATTTTATTCGAAATAATGAAAAAAAATTCAAATAATTATAACTTTTTTTTAGAAATAACGAGCATTATATTAGAAATAAAGAACATTTTATTTCAAATGTTCGGGATATCTAACATAAAACAAATTTTCTAACATTCTGTTCATAATTATGTTTGTAAATTCAAAATGATTTAGGTGTAATTAAATATCACAAACCAAATGTTTTTGAACGCCTTAGAATTAGAAGTGACTTTCAATTATTTTCGGAACGGAAACTCTGTGCAGACCTTTTGAATCTTAAATGGACTGGTTAAGCGTAATTTCATGTGATCCTCCATGGAAAGATGGCAATGCCTGATTCACAACGGTACCCTTGAAACCGTTATCTGATCAATATCGTAAAATATATTGTTGTTTTTCTAGGTTTGAACGTGTTTAGTCAGTTTTGTAAAGACACCAAAGTTGAAAATAATCAGTTTTTAAAATTATAAACAATGATATCTAATTCATAATTTATCGGAAAAGGTTTGTATGGTACCGTTGTGAATTGGACATTACCATCTTTGCGTGGAGGGTCGCTTGAAATTACGCTTACAGTCCCTTTAAGAAAGATTGAGCAAAATATTAGAGAAAAATACAATATTTATCTAAATGCGAAAATGCATAATTATTATGTATTAATTTTTTTAAATGCGGAAATGCACACTGTCTGTCTTGTCTTGCGTGTAATGTATTTATGGCATAATAAATGGATATTTGAATGTATATGGTAAATCAAAATAATAAATTTATATATAAATATTGTGTATTTGTTCAGCATTCAACGGAGTGTGAAAGAAGTGTAAAAATTAAAATTCATACTATTTAATATTTGATGTCTTAAATCTATAACACACTTTTGCATACATGCAGGGTTACCCACAAAGGATAAGACTTCGGAGACGACTGTACGGAATTTATACTGGCTGTTTCCTC